CTTTAATTATAGGTTGGTTATGGTGCCTTTCGTATACTTGTGCTCAAAAAGTATTGCAACACTCGCTACAAATGGCAGAAAAGCTGCAAGAAATTTTTAACTTCCTAAAATTCAAATATCTGCAACAAGCTATGTAAGAGTTTTGTGATAGCTGTTACAGTCTATAATTTTCTGTCCATGTCTATGAGTCTATGGTATTATTTGTGCAGCAGTGGAATCCAGTTGATAAAATGTACCACAAATCATTATATTGATCTTTTCCAATCTATTATCTAAGGATGTTGTTTAAGGACCAATAGTAACGAGAATTGCCCAGAATAAAGTTTCTGGAAATTGCAAGAAAAGATGAAAATGTCTGCAAAAACAATGACACTTAAATGTCTCTACAGCAGTAGAAGAATTGTTCTAACAAACAGCTGTAAATTTGTCATTTTCCGCCAACTACAAAGCAATGCTCAAATACAAACTTCACAAATGTTCTTCATGAATGGAATCTGTTTGATGGAAATATTAGATATTCAGCTACAATCATTTAGTTCAAGTGCAAATAACTTTCTTTGATAAATACTGTTAAAGGATCCTTGTTTGGAGTATTCAGTATCTTTGGTATTAAACAACTGACAATGCTTAGAATTGAATTTAGCATATTATATTACTGTATTTTGCCATGTATAAGATGCAAATTTTTCAAATTATTATTGGCTTTGTTTGAGGGTGCGTCTTATACATGGTAAAGAAGCCTGGTGTCCATATAGACGTTGCGGGTCATTGACAGTCTTTGAGGGTCATTGGTAAAACTGAAAAACCATCAACATGGAGACATCACAAAATATTTCAGTGACCCACAACAATCCACACATTGTGGGTCGTTTAGATAGAAAAATATGTGACAAAAGCTTTTTTCCTCCCAAATGAAAGGGTTGTACCCTGTATTCTCCAGATTGGAGGGCACATCTCTGTAATCGTTGTGAACTTTGTGAATGAAACATATAAAGAACAAGGATTTTATGGAAATTTAATAGAATAATAATGATGATTTTGATTATTTTATGATGTTAAACTCTTTACTTTATGATTTTAAACGTAATATTTGGAACATTGCGGTTTGAACGAATTTTCCTCCACAGAGAGAGTATTATCAAGTTTATTATTTTGCCAAAATATATGTGCTATACAAAAACTGACAAAGGGGGATGCGTCTTATACATGGCAAGACATGGTGAAAACTATTTTTTCAGAATTCAAACATGGAATTAAGAATGTGTCTTATGCAAGGAATTAAGAATGTGTCTTATGCAAGGATGCATCTTAAGAACAGCAAAGTATGATAACATAGATTTCGTCACAATTTCATGTTGCTTACAACCCTGTCGTTGTTACTTTTTCGTCAAACCAGTGCAACACGTCTCTAACTAATCCAAAAAAGTATATATTGCTTTTTGAATTATTGTTACAATTTGATAATTTGTTTATTATTTAGATATTTCTTGGAAAGATCTCAGAGTGCACGAATGACATATACAAAGGCAAGAGAATTCTTCGAAGAGGTATGTTGATGAGAGACTAATTTCCAAATCAAATAAAGCTTCCTTGTGCAATATGTTGCTTGTGATGGCATTTTTCTTATCAAGTTCAACAGCTTCAGTTTTTGAGAAAATAAAAGAGTTTGATTTTTATTGCTTATGATTGGTGATGTTACTGTCAGACATTTTACAGGTTAATAACAAGGAGGACAACAAAAATCAAAATTTTGTTATTGTGGGACAATTATTATTGTGACATTCTAATTTTAAAGTGACATAGTACCAATAAATCCAGTAAAAACTTGACCAGAAATTAACAATAATGGCATTTCAGATCTGGCTAGTGTCATCGTCAGCAAAATCAATGAAAGAAAAATGACTGTTTGTATGAAAAAGAAAATAATAGGGATTATAAACCATGTGACTAAAGGGTTGTAGAAGAAGCAATAAGGATGCATCTTTTTATCTTTCTGTCATCATCCTTGTTTTTCTTGTACTCATCAAGCTACGCTTTCTAACATCAGAATCCATTACTTCTATTTTACTGTTTTGTATTTTATTCTTAGGAGGAAGAAGAACCTGAGCTGGAGGGAGATGCAGAGGCACCAATTGAATCAGAGGAGAAGAATGAGTCTCCTACCAATAAACTGCAAAATAACCAGTTGAGTCCAAAAGAGAATGCAGATTGTTCTTCTAGAGATTCTGATTCCATTTTACAATATGTTAAAGACCAAAAGGCACAAACTGACAAGATTTCTGACAAGATACCCCAAATTGATTTCTGAATAGATGTAAAAAGCTTAGGCTTCTATGGGTTGTGATTTCAGGACCCAGAAAACCGTGTCAGTAATACACTAGAGTTAAATAATTCCATTTTGTAGGTAAATCTCCACACAGCATTGATTTATTTGAGGAAATCTTTAATGTGGAAGAACTAAAATACAACTGAATGTATCAATTATGTCAAAGGTTTATAATTAAAAGTTTCAAACTAATTGTTAGTTTAAGAGTTGTTTGTACCCTTGATTTGTACAATTGAATTCCCAAAAATGCCACAGCTTTAAACTACTAAAGCTAGCTTTTTCAAGAATCATTAATTGGCCTTAACAGATATTCACCTGAATCAAAAATAATTTCTGTATAGACATCTTTTTAAAAAACTTGAAACTAAAATTACTCAAAAATTGTTTGATTCCCTGGAAAATCCAGCTTTCAGAGAAAAAAAGGTTGTCTTTTGATATGTTGTTTTATGTGAAATTTTTATTTATTTGCCTGCTTTCACTTTTGAAAATTCTAGTTGTTATTAGTATAGAAAATATTGCTATTGATGTTAATCTCTGTCCATATTATGGATTGCTTTGGTATATTTCTGTGTATCTGACATGTTAGTTTCCTTACACCTTCACTGACTGTTACTTTTTTGCAAGCAGTTGGATGAATCAACTTGCATGCAACTACTTTCATGTTAAGTATAACTTTGAGACTCTAATTGAAACATGAATTTATTTGCAACATTTGTCAGTTCTCTTTTTGTGTTTTATAATGTACCTTTTATGTTTTGGTTGCTTGTACTGTGTATAAAATTTAAGCGCTTAGTCTCATAATGATCTGTCTTTCTCTTCAAAAACTTGTAAACCCTTAAAGAGAAACACATTTTTGGAAAAATCATACACATTTAGAGCTTTTATAAAAGTTATTTAATTCATTTTGATGAATTCTAATAGAATTAGTTGTTAGATAAACAAAAGTCTAAAAAAACTAAATGGGGTTTTATTTTCTGTACTGGGCCCCATTACAGTGGCTATATTTCATCATATTGCATATGCATAATATCTTTGTATGGTGTGCTAAAAAATATAGCTGGTGATTTTGGTAAACCTTGGTAGTTGATTTTTTGCAAGGGATGGGGAATTTACTCATTGAATGGCTTAGACAAAGATTACATATTCTTGATGACAGAATGCTTACCAAAAATCGCAAAGCAGCAGCCTTCGGTATACTTCCAAAACAAGGAAACTCATTTTGATTTACATACCAACACATTTTTTGAAATTTATGCAAAGTAATTGTTGATTAACAGCTGTTAGGTCTATTTCATAGATCTTTCTACTACACCAATAAATTTAGCTAATGCAATGTCCTTGTCAGAAAGGCCCTGACAAACATGTGTAGTGAGTGTGACATCAACTTTGTTGTAAACATTGAACCACTCTGGATGGTGATCCATTTTTTCTGACTGCAAGGCAATTCTTGTCATAAAACCGAATGCCTGGTTAAAGTTCTTAAATCTGAACTGTTTGTATATGGCATCTCGATCCTCTAGCAATGACCATCCTGTTTTCAATAGTGGTTCCAGTTCACCTTTTCGTGATGTATCTTTCAATTTGCTTGCTCCACAGACAGATACCTAACATTTAAGAGGACACTGTAATATTTGAAGTCTGTGTTTTCATTGATATTTTTAATTGTAGCGAAACAAAAAGACCATTTTACCTTACTTTTGGCTTCAGCCATCTTTGTACGGTTTGAATAACTGAATTCCCGTGACGTTATCCGCCAACTGGTGCGTTCTATTGCTTTTCGAAAATGGGCAATTATCATCTCTCCGCTTTTTTCAAGTGATTTGATTACTGATGATCTTGTTTACTTAGCCTCCTTTTGATATTGAGTATGGCATATGGTTAGGCCAAATGTCCAGGGCAAGACACAAGGGGCGTTTTTTGACAGGGGTACATTTAAAACATGGCTGAAAAAGATATAGCTGGGATAGGAAGAAAAGAAGTTGATAACTCTGTGCAGGCTAAAAATAATGCTTTGGATGATGATGAGTTGGATTCCCTTCTTGATGGTAAGGAACACTGGCTTTGAAAGCTGGCTTATCTATGTATTTATTGTTGTGATGCTAGACGGCACTAAGAGTATTGAAAAATTAACAGTATCGGCGCAAATTTGTCGGCCTCAAACAAATAAAACACATATATTGACGTAAACTCGTTTAAAAGGATTTCCCCCAAAATCAAACTGTTATGAATATAAAATGCAGGTAAAGAAGCTAATATTAATCCAGTCTGCAGAGCATGGCAGTTCTCGACAAAATCTCGAAATGTGCTTTGTGTGCAAACCATTCAATTTGGGTCAAATGTGTGCACTGTGCAGCATGCTTCCAATGGACAAAATACAGCTTGAGAAGGTTCTCACAATTTGTGCACAGCAATTTATTTCTGTGCCTATAGCAGTGACAATTCAGGTTTTGAGGTTTTAGTGTGGGACTTGTGGGCCAGTTTGCAGAGCATAGTAGCAGGGGCTGATTTAAGCAACAATGATTGGGGGGTGTTAGACACTAATTTTGGTGCCACACCCTTCAGGTTACTGGTAAATGATGGAAACGCCCATTTTTAAAATTTGGTTTTTAACTGTGGCGTAGCTAGGTTTGAAAGATTGGTAGGCCAAAGAGAAAAATATTTTTGCTGATCAAACCCCTAAGAATTTGGGAAAACACCCATTTTGTAAATGTATTTGAAAAAGCCATGGCATTTTTATGTGGCAATTTCCCTTTATTCAATGTCATAGGTGGCTGACCATATTCTACAACTGTCCATTTCCTTCACAATTCCACTAACATTTATATCCTGAATTGTGTAAGGCGAGGAATCTCTATGTGTAAAAAGTGATTTTCCAAAGTTTAATCAAATATCTAAAAAAATGAACAGTATGAAAAAGCTACCAGCATTTTGTTAGTAAAGATAATAGCGTCCTTGAGAATGATGAAGTGAAAATTCTTTGGAACTTCAGCATCCAAACGGAACAGAAAATTGAGCACATCAGGCCTGACATAACTGTTGTTGACAAAAAAGAAAAGCTGTGTGATGTAATTGACATTGCATGTCCATTTGATAAGAGAATACAGGAGAAGGAAAAGAAAAAAGTTGATGCCTACACAGATCTCAAATACGAAATTCTTAAAGTTTAGAGAGAGGAAGTGAAGAAAGTTGTTATATTGCAAGTTATAATTGGTGCATTAGGCTCGGTGGCAGAAAGACTCCAGAAGGAACTGGAAAAACTTGATTACAGAAATGGACTTGAAATCATCCAGAAAGCATGTTTACTGGGATCTGCAAGAATAGTCAGGAAAGTGTTGGACACTCCAGGAAAAACTGAAAAGGAACAACTCAGATGGAATAACTCAGATGGAGCACTCACTATCTCAGGATCTGTGACAGAACTTGATAGTGTTTTTATCCAGAATTTGATGCTGTGTACAATTGCAACAATGAAAACATTTTTATTTTTTATTCTTCTACTTACAACAGTAACCTCACTTTACAGGTAGTTACTATTGGCTAGCCTGGTACTAATTTTACAAAAGTTATAACATTCAAATAAAATCATATGAGTGCAAAGAATGGTTAGAAGGAGAGCAGTTCAGGGTTTGTCCAAGTCTTATTGCGCATACAGAATATATAATAGGATGTCCGTATAATTATTGCTGACAGTTTTTTAATTATAAAATTACGGTGTTAGTAGTCAAGTTTTAGTTCGTCACACATATCAATGAAAAAGTCACTGGAGTTACCAAAGATACCGAGACAGCTGATGGATAGATTAACAAATTTTACTTTTTTGAACTTAGGGCTTAGTTCCTTTAGAAGGGAACGGTACTTCTCAGCTTTACGCGAAGCGTTATTATCCAGGTTAGTCTCGAACCCAACAGTTAATTTGATGACATACAGACACTTGGAAACAGTTTTGATAAGCATGTTGGGATGGAACGAATCGCCAGTTATGATACATGGTGATAAATAAGCGGGAATGTAAGCATATATGAATATATCTCGGATACAATGAAATGACGATGCAATGAAGTGCAGGGCAGAGTCATGCCTCCAAGTAAAAAGCCCTTGCTTAAGGTATTTGTTACATCCAGCTACGACATGAAGAAGTGATTCAGGCTGAAGGCAGAATGAGCAATCTGGAGAAGAGCTAATTTTCCATAAGCAGAGGTTGTTCCTTGTGGCTAGTATGTTGTTGAGATACCTTATCGTAAAGTTGTAGATGTTTTTTGGAAGTTTACTTTGAGCTGAGACCAGAGTGAGGTTAACTTTATATAGGAATGCTCAAACAGGAATGAAATGATGAAGCCTTGAGATGTTAACTGAGTTTTGAGCTTTTCAGTGTGTTCGTCCCTTTTACAGTTCAATACCGCCTTAGTGTTCTTGTATGCGTCGAACTGTATATTAGGTCCATAATTGGTGTTCATCCATAGGGATTTGATGTTTTCGTTGGGCGAAGATTTGAGTGAGTTTCGAAGAACAATCTGGCACTGTTGAAACTTTACGAAAGGAAGCAGAAGCTCAAGACCAAAGTGTTTACGAGAAAGAACTATGCCACTCAGTGTCGAAGATATTGGAAGCTCGAGCCACTGTCGAACGAATTTTGTGACAAGCTGATCTAAGTTTTCACAAACCCACGTTTTGGAGAGATTAGCAACTGTGAGTTCCCAAGAGAGCTTTGAAAGGATGTATTGAATAAACAGTAGAATTTTGTTCCGCGGGTGAATTTTCAAGGAATCGATTTCAAGAAAACTTTGAGCATCTCACGGAGAGAAGAGGTCAAGTGATCTTTGTGTTCCTGGTTCTTCATATCATAATTGAAAAAAAACGACCCAGGTATTTGAAAGATTCGCCTTGTTTCACAAAAGGGACAGGATCGTTGTTAATGAAGAGTTTAGGCTGAAACTGTGCAGATTTAGTTGCAAACTTTTTAATTCCAAAGGTGATGCACTTGTCTACGTGGATGACCATATTTGCCCATTGGCACCATCTTGTAAAACAGTTTAGCAATAATTGATTTTCGCGTTCATCACTTCTGACAACTGCAGCATCATCAGCGAATTGAACCAGTGAACCGGGTTAAACAAGCGATCATTGCCATCATGAGGAGAAAATCCAAGTTGTTTATATTTGTCATGTTTTACCAGCTAAATAAAGGTGTTGAAACATAAATTGAAAATGAGAGGGCTGAGGCAGTCCCCTTGCAGTACTCCTCTTTTGACTGGAATGGCCGGAGACCTGGAATTATCGGTTATAATTGAAGTGTGGAAATCAGTATAAAGATTAGACACGAGATCTTGAAAGTGAGCAGGGATGTGATGATAGTCATGATGATAATAATAATAATAATAATGATAATAATAATAATAATAATAATAATAATAATAATAATAATGGAAACTTTTCATTTTGAATTCCAGTTAAAACTACAATTACAAATCTCACTATTACAAGGTAATAATAATAATAATAATAATTTTTTTAAACATCTCATTTTCATTGAATAAATTTTAGATTTACAATTATACGACTCGCTTTTGCAGGCATCATTTAATTGGCTTATCTGCATTACAATGTTTAGAAGTCAATCAGTTCGGGGCTTAGCCATGGTTTGTTTCGACGACAGAAGATATAGTAGGTGCAGCGGATAGAAATTCATGAGTTTCATCAAGATGGATTTAGTTTGATTTAAGTCAAAATCAAGTTGATGTAGCATGTCGGAGAGAGGGGTAGATGAGGTTCCCAAATGCCAAGGACACTCATAGAAAGGTTAACAAAGGTAACACGTTTATAGGCCAGGCTCAGTTCCTTGATAAGATTGCTATTGTTGAATAATAAGTTAGGTATTGTCCTTAGTTTAAGAAATATTGTCCTGAAAAGATGTTTAAAAAAGTGTCTATTAAATACTTTAAAATAGAAGGGAAAAACAATTTCCTAAACTAATTTAATACATTGTGCAATTAAAAAGGGTTTATTTGATTTATTAAAAACATTGTGAATTTACTCTTTAAAAAGTCTTTCGATAATGATACAAATTTACCTAATACACTACAGTTCCTTATGTTTTCTGGCAAAGAATTGAAGAGTCTTGCTGCATTATCCTGGAAGGTTCCGGTTTCTTTTGTAATTTGTGATTTGGTTCTGCTTGATCAAAGCTCTCTGGTAAATTTTTTCTCATCTAGAGTCAAGTATGTTGGCCAGGACGTATCATTAATCGCTTTGAATGCAGATTTTAGGAGGTTTAGTTCCCTTCGGTATTTTATTGGCAACCTTCCCAATTTTAAAATCATTACAGGATCCCTTTACATCTTTGCCGGTTACAAAAGATGCAGCAGCTTTTGGATATGTTTCCAAGCAATTCTTTGGATTAAGTCTGTTTCTGAGATTTTACTTCCTTTATTTCTTTTCAAGAAGATTTATATGCTGCAGAATAATCAATCCACAGAATATGTGAACTTGCCCACACAGACTATCATCCTGTTGTTCATTTAAAGTATTTTGATGTGTAATTCATCAAAGGTAGATTTGCCAGATTTATAAGAACAAAATTTGGAATAGTCTATTTCAACTACCACAAGTATATAATGTGCATCCTCTTATGACACCCCTGGCCCATTTTTATTGTCAAATTTAGTTTTCACCCATTTAAACTTTTACTTAAGCTGTGGTGGCTATTAGATAGATTTATGTGAAAAGTAAGCAGCCTCTTGAGCTACACCATAAGCATGCCATTAAGCACATCAAACTTTGTAGTGTGAATAAACATGTACTATTGTATACATGGAGCTAACATGTATACAAAGTTAATAGAATAGAGTTAATGCAATAGATATGGTACAGTTGAGTCAATACAATGAGGAGGTTAGAGTAGATTGCCTATTTCAGCAAGAGATTTCACCAGAATGAAAATATTGAAGTAGACTATCAAAATCTTTTATTTTCCAATGAATCCAAGAGGCACCAAGTGTTGTGGGAATCTGGCAAAAACACAGAATTGTGACATATTGGGAAACCGTTGCCATCATTACATTACATGTTTAATTGTTCATAAATTTCTCACAATCTCCCCCTGCTCTTTGATGTTTTTACAGCCCTTGAAATACAGCAAAGTTAAAAATTGAATTTTAAGGCTGCTGCTTTGGCTCTGGTGGACTGACACCATTTACAAGACAATTTGGTTGATTTGGCTAAACAATATCACTGATCTCACATATGCACTGATCGCTCTTGCCGACATTTGCAAACAATTTTGAAATTTCACCGAAAAAGCACATCTAGATGGCAAAAAATTTCTCGTTTTATATATGAAATTTTTGAAGGGGCTTTCACAAAAAATTTTCAAAATCATATTTTACAGTAGCTCAGCTTCAGCTTGTTCTTAATTTGTTCTTAACTTTTGACAAATTTTGAGGCCAGTTTTCCTTTAAAATTATTTTTATAAAAAGGAGTGTAGTCTCCTCTTCCTTGCATTCTTGCCTATCGCTGATGTTGAGTGTTTTTGATCACCGGCAAAAACATTTCATTCAATACAGCAAAACTCTCTGCATCCTCTCAAAAACTGTTTGAAATGACGTCCTTACCGAATATAAGTTCACCATTACCGGCAAGCCAAGATGATAGCTTCAAGTTGTACCGACAAGCCGAAAATTACAGACGGCTTCATGTGACACACCCCCACATCCTTTCGCCTCGGTACGCCCCTGCATAGAACTGTTCAACAACATTTTGTACATGAGGAAAATTAATAAGCAATTAAAAGGGATTAATTCTTGCTGCTTCGCGCAACTTCAAGCAACTTGTAAGGTCGCTTACATGATCACATTCTGTGATCGCATAAAAATTATGAAGTGATAATGATGGAAATTTTACCTGAATATGATCGTATAAACCGGCCCTTGAGGAAGGCCAGAATTCAAACAGATCCTTTGCAGATGCATTTTGAACTCGATGTACAATGTATTTCATGATGAATTCAGGTACCTGATCATGAATAGTATTTGATCTTTATGCAAATTATCAAATTGTTAATATTTTCCGACAAAGTCTTGGAAATTCCGATATTTCCGACAAAATATTTGCGAGGGGGACAACCGCCCCTGCACCCCAGCCACTGCGCTTCTGAAACTAAAACGCGCTGATAATGAGAAAAACATCACTCTCCTTTAGTCTTTTTTATTTTGTCGTAAAATCAACTCAAAAACCCTATTTATGAATGTAACCTCTGACAGTTGCAAACTGCGGGAGATACACATTTGACCCAATGAATTGGAGATAAAGAAACAATGTTAATTTCTAGAAAAACCAATGATAAAAACCTTCTTGTGAATATGAAAAAAGGTCAAATTGAGGTAAATATAGATAGTACACTGGTCTTCTTTGCGACAGGCAAAATCATATGATGTTATTTTAAACAAACTTTTGGTTTCAGTTATGCCAAGGGTTCGGTTGTAATCCAGGCATTTCATTTTGTAGCAATAAGGATTCCTTAAGTTAATGTCAATTGTCAATTCATCGAATTGCCATTTTAAAGGGACATTGGCTCGATGTGCACGAAGAAGAGGCATGGTAATCTTTCCTGTATCAACATTTTGATTGTCAAAACTAGAAACTAGAAAGCCTGCTCAAAAAAAGGAATGTCGCTTGTAAAAGATTACTTTGTATTTGAATGGTCTTTTGCAGAGAAAACCTCCGCCCTAACGGGCAAGGACTGTCCATGTCTCGTAGAAGCGTGAACGTGTTTAATCTTTTTGTACATTTAAATCTTTCTGCATTTCTTTATCATTATTAATAATGAGGAATTTCATTTGTAAAGGCTTTGAAATTCTTTGCCACAGAAGAACGTGCCACGAGCACTACTGCAACTGATGCAGAATCTGGCTTCTTTAGTGAAAACTTAAAATTACCTTTTTTTGCACTTTTACTATGCACGCTGGCAACCAATTTTGTTACCTGTATCAACTCAGAATTCGATTTTTCTTGCTAAATTCCAATGCATAATCTGCAAAAAATTGGTCTTATCGTAAACATATTGATGTTCTGAAAATTTTCTAAGGCACACATTCAGGGGCGAAACTACCGGGGGGGTGTGGGGGGGTGTAACACCCCCCAAATCCAAAAAATAGTCGATTTCGCAGGGCAATCGAAGATTTCGCAGGGCGCCAAGAAGAGCTTTATTGCCACGCAGAAATGCCACCTCTGAAGTTCGTAAAGAGCCGTTTAGGAATTTTGAAATGGAAATATCGTATTTGTTATGAACCTCCCTTCCTGACATTGCATTTTAGAGAACGGAACAGATATGTAAGGAAAAGCTCCGTTATTTGCAAAGCGAAAACATTTCTTACCGAAAGTCATAGCCAATGGATGCACAAATTGACGCATATGTTTACGAGGGCAAGGTTGAGTCCATACAAGTTAATTTAAGTTGTAAGTTATTTTCATGACAAGCACGGCGTCACTGGAGGGGAATAAGAGGCTGAAGGCCCTCACTTTGGTCAAGATAAGAATTTTTTTTTAATTTTTTCTATTACTTTTTAATAGTGCATGAACTAAAAAACACAATAAATCGTTAAGATACCGATTTTGTTTCATTTAATTGCTAACTTTTTCACGTATATTTTTATTATTTTTCTTTTATTTGCATTAATTCAGTAAATCACTTTCTGTATCATTGCAATGTTTTAATTTTGGATGTGTAAACATGGCCTTCTCGATGCAAGAAACTGCACATTTCTGTTCAGGAAATAAAATTTTCCCAATCAAAACAACATCTCCCTCTGTCATTCACAACTACGTGCAATCTGAAACGAAAGGTTGTCGTTTCTTTCCTTCCCCAACGTCTAATACTAGAGTTTTAGCATGACATCCCCAGGCCTTGAAAAGATATTTTTCTTCCTGGCAGCAAAATAAAAAATTCAAGATTTCCTGTAAAGCTTCGAGAAAGTTTCCAGCCACTGAAATTGATATTTCAAGTTGCTTGATTTGTTTAAAAATTTGTCACACTGTTTAAAAAACAAACTGTCACACTAGAAAGAACTAATTGTTGGTCCTGCAATCTTGATCATAGCTATTCGAACAGGAATCATTTTGTTTATACTGTATTAGATGATCAAGGAGAACGTGATCAAGCACGATACTCATAGTTTGTTTTCAAGGTTAAAGAAAGTAGATCTGAAATCTATAATAACTTTGATTAAATTTCATATCATATCAATTTCATACTAATGATATATCGATACATCTTGCTCTGGGTTTCATGTTTGCTGCTCATTTTTATCATCAGTTCATACAACATACAAGAATACTATTTTATTTTTTAATGGTTGAAATAAAATTTTAAAATCAGGGGTGGTGCTAGAGGCAAAGATTTAAGACCAAAACGCTTACATTCTATAAAGCAAGTGATGAAAAATATATGCGAATGCCAGTAGAAAAATACGAATAATGATGGACACATCCACAAAGGTTTGGGGCATGCTCACCTTCAAAACAATTGACGTAACAAGATTGGCTGTCTTTGAGTGTTTTTACATAAATAGAATGGCTGATGTAAAAAAAGGAATGAACTTTGTTTTAGCTTGCTGGAATTAAATTAGTAAAATAGCTGAAAATCATGCACGAAAATTTGGCATAACAGACGCTTATAATACCAGATGATTGAAAGCTAATCTTCGTTTTTTGTTAGTAGTGCAGAACAAAAATTATACAGTATGTATGTATATCGCAAGAAAACAGCATTCCATAGAAATATTCTAACATGAATTTAATGTTCATATTAAAATCAATGGAGATTTCACGCTAAAAATTTCCTGGCAAGCATCAACAATTTCCTGCAATGAATTTGGGCCAAAAATTTCCTGCTGCCGGACATTTTCCAGCGGCGCTTCCGGACATTTTCCAGCCCTGGTTATCCCCTCCCTATTTTTCCCAATAAACAATAATATTTTCAATAAACAATCAGTTCTTTTAGCACAATAGTATTTTGCTAAATTTTTGTCTGAATGATGCTTTTAGCCCTTTTACAAGGTATAATTTCAAAAATTTTCTTCACGTCGGACCCAACCATGGTGGGTCCTCCTACCTCACTAAACTTGATTCTTAGCCCCACTGGGCTAAATTTCGTTGCACTGTCTACATCATGTACCCCCCCCCCCCCCCCAATTAGCTGTTTATTAGCTAGTATTTTGCAAACCAACATTAAATAAAGTGAATATAAAAGAAACAATTTACGCTCAAGTGGAGAAATAGATATTTCATAGGCAATGAAGTTTCAAGTTTGTTTTTATTGCTTAGAAGTTTGTCCTTGGTAAAGACCAGTGTACACTGGTAAAGCTTTCACTAGTAACCTATAGACAAACCGTTGCTACGAGGTCTGCAGGGCACCACTCAGTTTTGCAGGGCAGAAACCCTTTTCACCCCCCCCAAACCTATTGGCCAAGTTACGCCCCTGCACACATTGGGTTATTGAACTACTCTAAATAAGCGTAGATTTAGGTATGATTTAAAGGGCACTGCTTCTCTCTGCACCTGCTTTATGGCAAGTGAGTACGATGGGGGCTTCTTTGCACAACCCCCCCCCCTCTTTTGAAGTGCAATGTAGCGGTTGCTATTAGGTTGTAAACGAACCATTACAAGCCAACGTGCAGACTCTGTCGAAAAGTTTAAAAGAGGAGAAAGAGACTAATCATGACTGGACATCATCCATCTTAAAACTATTCTTTAAATAGTACCAATATAATATTTCTTTTAGCCTCTTCCAGATTTAGCCTCCACCCCCCCCCCCCCCACTTTTTGCATCTTTGTAACATTTGTTGAGAGAGTTTGGTCAGCCAGACCCACCTTCTAATTCAGCTTTTGATTTAGCAGTGTACCAAGTTGGCTGAAGATTTTAGAAAAAGAGCAGCTTGCTTTTGAACAAATTATGCAATGTTTATTCTGAAATTTGCCAACTTATCTCATTACATGTTGTTTGTAGTCAGTTTCAAAAAACGTATTTTTTTGTAGACGCCTTGCAAGACTTTTCCAATACAGAAGCTCCATATAATCCCGGATCCAGTGCTGCTGGAACTGATCCGCGAGCAGACTCAAACCCGAAGCCTCCGGATAAAAACGAACCTCAAGGCGAAGCGATTTTCTGTAGAGACTTTGGTGACCTTTTTTCTCAAGACGACTTTGCAAAAATGACAGAAGAGTTGTCGAAAGCACTTCAAGATTTGCCAGTCTCCGGTCTTTTCCCTCACGAAAAAGAGAGTGATCCTGATGGAAGTGTCCCTACGGGTTCGTTGTTTTTTATCAAACGTTTTGTCCTTTAGTCTTGTGACTAATGTTTTTATGGTGTAGTTCTGGATAAGCATGCTCAATACCAACTAGGGTAGCCACTCTGCTGCCCTGGTTGCCAGAGCCTCCATTATTCAGTGTCAGAAATATAGTTCAAAACTAGTCACAGAAATATTTTCTCCACATCCGCTCATTCTTTGGACCGGGTGTTCTTTGCCACCGCAGCCGTCTACAATACTTTATCGGTGGATTCATAAGGCTCTGGTACCCATGGTACCACTCTGCCTTAATTTTGAAAGGTGCTTGCGTTTTTCTAAAATATTCTACAGTAAAAACAATGATAAAACATGTTAGTGGCGCCAAAATTGAACAAGGCTATGAAAAACAAGGCGTTTCGAGCAAGTAGTTGTGTGTGTTGTTTTTCACAGTCCTTTTCATGTTTTGCTAAAACTACTTGCAGATTATATTTTCATAACATTGGTAGCTAATATTTGTTTTGTGGCAGTATTAATCGACATCGTTCCTAGAGTGCTGCAGCTTCTCTTACACTGAAGTAAGCATTTCAGCTTTGCAAAGTACGCATGATCATGTTTTTAAAGCTACGTAATGTGCACAGTAGCTGTATCCTAAGAGCATTTTTCTTCAAAGATAATCGGTTTTTGTCGTATTCGGTTTCTTCACAATTATTCACAGTCAACTGTGCAAAAGCAAACGATTTTTTTGATTTATTAAATTATCCGCACTTTGCAAAAATCAGTTGAACTGTTTCGAAATTGATTTGGTGAAAATGCATATGTTTTTTCTATACTCTGCAAGGAGTGACTTTTTACTATCTCAGAATGCGCTTCATAGCATCTACGCATTAGATTGTCACAAACGCAGGAGCCGGGCAGAGGACTGTCCGGGCACATGTCCCCCACTTTCTGCAAAAATTTTAAAAATTCTCTCAACATTAAAAAATGTGTCTTTTACTTAAAAGTAAAACTATGAGGGAGGCCCTAGCCAAGCCACAGCGAGTGCCCCTCTTTCCATTTGTTTTGAAACAAATCAGCTCTGCTTGCATTCCATATTTGTATGCCTGTACCCCTTGTCCTTTTCTGTTTCCAGTGGATCAGTTTATATGCAGTTATACGCCTCTTTATTCAACTTTGAAGATATCTCTGTGAATGGTAAACAAGTTCAAAGAGAGAAAAATATGAAAGATTTCTATTCCAGTCATTTGAATTTTCACCTCCTAAACGCCCAACTGAAACTGTTAGTTTGAATGGTAAAGAGATATTTCTCAAAGATAATGAAATTCGCTATGATGGACATTCTTAATTTCCTATTTCTGTTCCGTTCGATGTTTTTTACTAATTCCCGAAAATTTTGGAGCACTTAGATGTGGCTCTTGAAATGTAAAGTATAATTAAAGTACCCTTCATTCAACTCCTTTCCCCTCCTCACCCCAACAACCCTACCTTCTAAATACTTCCTACATCTCCGTAGACTGCCGTTGTAATGTACTTCCAACATTCTCCATTATCTATAATGTTAGATGATTGTGGTGAAATTTTAGGCCTGTCTTGGGCGATCGATTTTTTTCATCATGGTTTAAAAGCTTCAAAAAGCAAGCATTTTGATTACCACGACAGATTTTCATATATTTATGCACACTCTTACTTTGGCTAGTTCTATACTACTTATTTTGTTTTAATGTTTTCAAGCCCTTTGATGACTTTCATAAATTGCAATAAGCCCTTTTTTTACGTTCTATTTTGCTTGCCCCTCCCCACCACTTACTTTTAAATTTCTCAAATGTTAATCCAGTTGGACACAAACTAGGAGGCATGAAGCCTTCTGTAAATTTTTTTTGCGCAACCGTGTTATGCAGTAAGATGACATCAAGAATGTGTCATGCAAGCACCCGAAGCGCTTGTGCATACGCCACACCATTATTAAATCATGTCAATAACTGTTCATTTGCTGATTTCTCGATTAAACTGGTTATGATTTATAAGGCTGGTGAAACTGGCCTTCTTTTGTTGATTTGATGCGGTGAATGCGTAAGTTGCTTTTTGCCATTTCAAAATTCAATCACCTTGGCTTGAAAATTCTTCTTATTCCACTAGGACCAAAGGCTACTCCTAGTTTGGAAGAAAATCTCGAGAGCGCGTGGAAATCACTGGCACAAAATATCAAAGATACCCAGGTGATTCAATTTTATTTAGTCTTGCCTCGTGTTAGTCGATTGATGTATTAATGAATGATCTTAATAAGTGAAATAAATGATAAAATTTAACATTTATTGTCTTATTAAATCATTTTGTACATAGTTAAGCTTTCGCTTGCCAATAGAACATTTTTAACAGCTTTTGTAAATTGAAGTGTTTTCATCTAGTTGAAATATTTGTTCAGTCAATCTCGTTGCAGCTGGAATCTTGTAAGGGCTAGACATGGAATAATGCATTGGTTTGATTGCGTAGCGAAAGTTGCCTGCCAATCAAACAAGTTTCGAATTCCCTTGTATGGATAATCATTAATAATATACACTTGCATTCTCGTTTGTCTCGCAGCTGTTTAAAATTAAAGCTCATTCGCTCTTTCTCCGCATGATTTGAGCACCAATCTGACACTGCTAAATCTAATCTATGCTTAGAATGGAGGTAAATAACAACTAAATGTTTGTTCCGATAGCTGTCTTATCACTTTTCTTGGCAGCAATTTTATTTCCTCTTTTCGTTTTAAGATATATGCCTTTTTAATCCCTGCAATGGCAAAAAAGATCTTTATTTTTTCATGAGATTAAAAATTTGGACGTGAAATTTAGAGAACCTATGCTGCTTGGCTTCAACTGCATTTTAACTGTTTCGTGAATTAAGACGTGTTTCCCTGGCTCAGGTTACGTCATTCAGGTACTGTAAATTGCTGTACCAGCTAGCAGGAAATCTGAAGGTTCATATACTTTTAGTAAAAGTTTTACTTAAAATTCCATAAAGTTTTTCATTAGCTGCTGCCCTTGTGCAGATTCTTCAGGTCCTCCAGCCTTTTGTGGGACGGTTGACACTTTGTACATAATCAGCTTCTCAGTGATCTGTTATTTTGGTCAAATGGAGTCGTTGTTTTAGAATTTGTCTAAATGTCATCACAAGATATTATCTGTAATTTCAATTGCAATATTTGCGATGAATACGTTTTTCGAGTAGGCCTCATCCAACTTATCTTGGTTCACTGTAAAACCCAGTGTGGATTGAATGGCTTTACCTGCTCCAACTCACATTACTGTGCCCATTTGCACTGGCCATTAGGTTGAAATGACGTCACATTGACAAGATAAAATTCATAAATTATTTATTTGTGGTGAGAGTTTACTGTTAATCTCTGCCTTGAGCCTAGAGATACTGGTTTTCAAAATAGAAGGAGTCCTTCACCAATAATATACAATTATTTTTTGCGTCTGTTAATGGATCATTCTTCTAGTGCGTTTTCCATTGCTGCTTATGAGCAACGACATATTATCCAATCAGACGATTGATGCTAGTTGTATATTAACACTGTTGTTTTTTAAGCTATGGAAAAACCTGGAATGTGTATTGTGTAGTACATTTTTTTGGAAGGAAAAAGTCTTAATGTTTGAAGAAATCTTTTCCGAAAGCCATTTTCAAGTTCATATTAGCAAAATCATTATATTGATAATTAATTATGATAATTTTATTTCTAAAAGCAAATTTTCTCGAATATATCCAATATGAAGCCCTGTTCATAATCTATTTTGGTCTGAGATATTATGAGAAACCAATTTGTTTATCGCTAACGAAAGCAGTTCTTCTCATCCCCCGTCAACTGTAGTTCTAGTGTGCCAGGTGGAAATCTCTTTAAAAGCCCACATGTCATTTTCTAATCGTTTTCAACACACGTTCACAAACAGAAAACAACTCATACAAGATGAATATCTTAGAATTACGGGACTGCTTTTAAAGAAAGAAATTCTAACATGCCTAACTTCAAATGGTTATCGAACATATTATCCCCGAAAAGACAACGCGCATACAGTGAAAGCATATTGAGCAGGGGAAGCTTAGAACAAGAGAGCAAACAAGAAAATGTGGGTAATTTCGATAATAATACAACGAAGTCAAAGAAATATAAAAACTTAGCAAGGTTCAATGGACATTGCCATGGAAGAGATCGGGCATCCACTCTGCCAACTGAGCTGCCATGCTATTCAAAATACGACGAAACTCTGATTGTGAAGAGTGAAGTATCTTTAAAACTCTTTAGGAAAAAACGCCGTGGTGGAATTTGCCCAAATAACGTCGATGAATATTATAGAAGCTGGGAAACAAGGAGCAAGTCCATTTAGAAACATGCGACCTGTGACTGAGCATAAGAAGTGAACAAACTCGCAGCAGAGGGTGTCCTATTCGAAATTGGTTAGGGCAAAGGGCTAGCAGGCGCCTGTACGCACCCAGCAGCACATGAAAGGACTCGATATTCACCCACGGGTATTTGGTTCTCAGTGCCTCGTTTGTTGTTGTAGTAAGAAGGGTCATTTAGCCAATTTGCTCCTTATTTTCTAAGTACAACCATCCTTTCCTAGGTGCTTGAACATTATAGATTTTTCAAGTTCTATAATCATTTGTGTGAACTCTTAAGTAGAGTTTAATGTCTCATTTTTGAGCTACTGATCATTTTCTGTACGTTCTCTGTGATATTTTTTTATGACTTCACCAAATAGTTTGTAGAATTTTTCATATGAATATGCTCATAACGGTTTTCTTGTCAGATGTAATTAATGTTGAATGCTGGAATAATGAACATCCATGTATTTCTGAGCACCTGTTAACATTTTCTCCTACGATTACTGCTTTGACTTCGCGAATCGCCATTCAGATAACATCTCTATCAGTCAAAATCGACTTAAGGTACAGGTCCGTAATCAAGGAGATGGAATAGCGGGTTGCTGCATCCCCTGAAAAATTAATCAAAAATTTGTGTATTGGAGAATGTTTGCTAAGTATCTCAACTCACTTATAGTCATTCAAGTCACCAAAACCGAATTAGAACTTTAGCAGAAAAGCCGTCACGTTATGCTGCGGCGTAGATGCTGACAAGCCTGTTAATTCTCGGCAGACCATCGTGATGCTACGACGTTAATTTTTGATAATTAGACAAGTTTTGAAAAACTTTTAAAAATCTTGTGCACCCTTGGATGCGAGAGTCTCTATATTTAGCCTCGTGAATGTAGTTTAAATTCGCCACCGCATCAATCTACCGTTACTCCGGTTTCAGGATAAATCTTGTGCTATTTAAGCTACAGTAATTTCTCATTTTAGCCCCCAGGGTGCTTATTGTTTTTCAGCACTTTAAAGGGGAACTTATAAGAGAGAGGGGGCTAAATTGAGAGAGAGGGCTTAATAGATATTTTGTAACAAAAAACCATTTATAGTGGTAAACTAATTTTTTGGTATTTGCGAAATAAAAACAAATCAGCTTTCTTTATCAATTATATTGTCATCGTCATCAATCATTAATTCTAAAATATCTTCTTGGACCATGTCGCCTTCTGAAATCAAGCATTCTAAAAGGTCGACTTCATCCCTCGGAGTACCAACGGCCTGTAATTTTGGTAAAAGGCTCTCACATTGCCCGTGCTTAATGCACATTAAATCTTTGTCATCGGATCTGTCGTAACTGGAAGAAGCATGGTGTGAATTTTGGTATGATGCGAAGTATTGAACGACCAATGAATAAAATGACAATATCTGTATTTTGTCAAGTTTTCTTATTTTAGCATCAGTGAAAATTTTTAGGGGGGCTAAATAGAGAGGGGCGCTAATTAAATTTTTCCTTTGAAAAGGGGGGCTGATAAGAAAGGAGGGCTTAATGGAGAGGGGACTTGAAAGAGAATTTACGGTATATCTAGTTTGTCGGTTCTGTGTTTATGTATCACATTACTAAGAAAAAGTAATGAAAATTACTGTTTACCGGTGTGTCATAAAAGATTCGATGCCGCCTAGGCAGAGCTCTACCCGCTATTTGATAAAACGAACAGGAAGTTGTAAGTTGCTACTCCAAGTTTCACGCTTAAAGCGAACACCAGGCACCTGTTAAACTACGCATTTTGGGTGTTATTGTATTTACTTGTTATGTCGCTGGAGGTATCGAGAATTTCAATGCTCGTAGGTGTTAATTTGGGGGCAATTATGTAATTAATTACGTTGTTGGGGTTCTTGACAATGATGAAAGAAAGCACTGCAAGAAGAAGATTAGCTGGAAGGCCCCTGTATGGGTGTATTAAGAGTAAGCACATTATCTTTCGGCGGTACAAAAGCGTAGAGTTTTTTATCTATGTTCTGACGTTTTAGACTCTGAAGAGTATCAGACGAAAAGCTAAAGTATACTCAAATGTTTGCTTTTTTCAAAGCCATTATTAACCAGATTGTTATATCTTTACTCAGTCATCATTTCCCTGAGTTATAAGTCCGATCTTCTTTGGACCGCGGTGCTCAGTATAGATCTTATTTAATTCATGTTCTTCTTGCGACCGCAGTGCTCCAAGTCACGTGCTAGTTTTTCTATGCGTAGTCTATAACTTTTCAGATAGTGTGTTATGATTAATATTACTATTAAGTAGAAACAGACGAGACTCAAATGCAGTCTTTTGAGAAAGTAAAGAACCGCCCTTGGTAGTTTAATGATGTTGTGAAATTAAATTCAGCTCGTACGCTAAAGCGAAGCTTGAAGGAACCGTGTCATATTTTATGCGTACTTTATGATCTTGTGACTCTCTTTTGACCACCTAGCATGAAAAACTAGCAAGGAAAACTCCATGGAAAAATCATGATGGCTGCTGGAGCATTTTGTTATTAAAGAGGATTGATAAATACCCACTCCCTCCACTCATTATCGACTCCCAGGCCTAAGTTACGAAGAATATTTTTATAGAACGAATAGGATATTGCACCCTGCGTCCTGAACGCGTAGAAAATGGCAGTTCCGGTGGAGTGTCATTAAACTGCATGTCAGTAAAGGTTTCATAGTGGTTAGGAATCTGTTACAGTGTAGGTTTTATTTTTATCTTTCTCATCTTTCCTTTCCCTTCGGTTTGCTTTTTCTGAACTTATTTCTCGTCGGCTCGGCTGTCTTGAGATCGGGTTGGATCGAGTCCTAAAAGGAGTGAAAGATCATCCCCTGGTAAATGAAAAATTTTTCTGTAGACCAATTCTGCTAGCAAGTAACCAATATCTGACATGACAGCTTTCAACTGACGGTCAAAACGCTTGACAAATCCATTAGCACAAAGATGATAGGATGTGGTACGGTATGCTTGGTGCCCAATAATGATGTCCTACATTTGAACGGTTCTCGTTGAAATTGAGATCCAATGTCAGTTATAGCGTGCGGTAAAAGCCAGTGGTATTTGAATGATACCATCAAGATAAAATAAAGAATGATACCAGGTACTGCAGTATCTTGTTGCCAATTTTTGAATCGTTGATGTATATACAATGATACTCATTGTTGCGTATGCTGGTATTGGTCGATATCAACATCAAAAATCGCCCAACTTGATTAGCAAAGATTCCTCTTGCCTTTTTGTGACGCTGAGTCTTTGCTTTTTGCAATGTTGCCCGCATAAGAATGACATTTGGAGGAGCCTGAACTGATTTTCCATATTTAGAGGTATTTCATAATGCTTTTTCAGGTTATGGGATAAAAATTCAAAAATTCTGAAAATATATTTTTGTGACATCATCACTTCGGTACTCCATTCTTGCACAATTCATGATTTCTACTTTAGATTAGTAGAATTGGTTTGCAACTATCATTAATTGAATGCGGTTCTTGCTCATTTTCGCTGACGAAGGGACCGCAGATAAAGCTTGAAAACTACAATCAAAACGCCAGAAAGGAAAATGTGTTTGTGTAGATTTCCTGCCTTCTTCCTAAAATTTCTACTGCGCAGTACCTCCTAGAACGTGACCCGAAACGAAGCAATATTTAATTATTATGCTTAATGATAATATAGAATATGTTGCCTTTTTTCTGAGACAAGTTACCAATCGGTTACAATAACCAACCTTCTTTTTAACAAATTTGTTAAAATGCAACAGAAAGCTATTATTAATTGCCAATAACTGTAACTACTAACGGGTAAAGGGACTTATAGCACATAGAAAATGTCTTTAGTGATTATGTCTTTAGTGATTATGTCTTTAGTGATTATGTCTTTAGCGATTATGTCTTTAGTGATTATGTCTTTAGTGATTATGTCTTTAGTGATTATGTCTTAAGTGATTATGTCTTTAGTGATTATGTCTTTAGTGATTATGTCTTTAGTGATTATGTCTTTAGTGATTTTGTCTTTAGTGATTATGTCTTTAGTGTTTATGTCTTTAGTGATTATGTCTTTAGTGATTATGTCTTTAGTGATTATGTCTTTAGTGATTATGTCTTTAGTGATTATGTCTTTAGTGATTATGTCTTTAGTGATTATGTCTTTAGTGATTATGTCTTTAGTGATTATGTCTTTAGTGATTATGTCTTTAGTGATTATGTCTTGAGTGATTTTGTCTTTAGTGATTATGTCTTTAGTGTTTATGTCTTTAGTGATTATGTCTTTAGTGATTATGTCTTTAGTGATTATGTCTTTAGTGATTATGTCTTTAGTGATTATGTCTTTAGTGATTATGTCTTTAGTGATTATGTCTTTAGTGATTATGTCTTTAGTGATTATGTACTGGAAAAATTGAAGGTTTTTTTTATTTCAGGACGAAAAACCCGAAGATGTTTTAGAAAAAGACCTTATGAAGGCCTTCCAAGGGCTAGGGCTAGAGAATGCAGAAGTAGATCCTGACAATTTTATGACCGCTCTCCAAGGAATGGTGACAACTCTCCTTTCGAAAGACATCTTGTACCCGTCTTTAAAAGAAATGCAGGCGAAAGTGAGTTGAAATTTTTGATATGATTAAACTTAATGTTTTCGAGCTCTATTCATTGTTGTTATTTTTTAAATATGGCTTCTTCAGTGTAACTGTAGCAACAAAGATTTTAGCTCATTTGTTTAGACAATATAAAATGTGCGGTAGTAATATTTCTTGCTGCCAACAGTTGTACGAGAAGCGTCACACCCATGACCCTGCTGTTAAAACGTCCATGTTTTATTACACAAGCTTGTTAGCTCGTTAAAATGGTCGAAATTACTTGTGAATCAAATCGTCTGTCAAGAGCAAAGGCAATGTAGCTACCTTAACTAACTCTTTGATGCTATACTATTTGTTTTGAAGGAAAGAGATTCGTTTCACCAACTTACAGACCCTCGTGTACTTATATTTCTTTCATGCACAAAGTCGTTATTTAATAGTATTAATTTTTGCTCATTACGCGTGTCAAATTGAGTTAGAGAAATTGGGTAGTTCCAGTTCCATTACAACCGTATTTATTCGAATATGGCTAAAAAATCAAGGATGGCATTTAAACGAGGGCGGCGTATAAACAAGGACGGCATTGCTTAAACTTAATTTTCCAAAGCGTCAAACAATCATGACATCTTCACTGAGACGGAAAAGATCAAATCTTATCTTACGCCATTCTTTTAAACTTTTAAAAACTTTGGAAATTTCGAATGTGACTAGGTCAAGCCCAGGTATTTGCATGCCTCGTAACACCATATCTGCTTCACTTACCGTAAGTAAATGTTTTATTCATTTGTTTCCTATCAAACTGACAGCAGTTTTTTGAAAAGAAAAGTTTGTCCTTTCCAATTTTTGCATTTTACAAAATGAGTAAATAGCTTGATGGCAGACATAGATGTAAAGTTTGTCACAGAAAAAAGTTCAAATCGTGAAGCAGGCAGACAGCTCAAAGCCGATAGTACATGGTACGCCGGTGGAGACAGAATTAAAGTAGATCGTAGTAGATCGAACAGTGTATCATCGACCAGGACTAGCAAAAAAGAAGAAAGTGATTGGAGTCGAGAGAAAGCCATGCTTGTCCACCATTGAAGATGTATCGATGAAAAAATTGCGCATGAAAGCGAACAACAAAACTCATGGCCCCAATACCTAAAGGACCTATACAATACCTAGTGTCTTACACTAAATTTCCAATTGGCAATTCTCTGTTTCCTTTACAACATCACTGTAACTTCAAAATATAATATATTATCTTCTATAGTATTTCTAGTATACTCATGCGGCCAACCTGTAACAGAGCTAGCTGACTTTGTAAATTTTGAAGTTTTTCATAATACTCTTTGATGTCATTTGTTCAAAATCAAAAGTTTTGAAATAGATTTTGATGACGTCATGACCACAATCCGTCCGTGCTTATGTGGTAATCGCAGCCAAGAAAGTAAAGCAAGAGCTTGAATCCATCCCTAGGGTTTTTGTTGCTGCATCCACTAATGAACGGATGAGCGACGTTCTGACTGCCGTCTGGATTGACAGTGTATGGTCCAATTTTGCCTGCACAAAAGGTACATTCAAACACTGCGAAGAAGTTGAGACATTGATACACCGAAATGGAACTGCCAGAAATATACAAGGAGCTGAGAGTTGTATCCTGTGCAAGAACTCTTTATATATGGTATAAAAGGAAAAAAAGAGAATGATTCAAGTCATACGTAAATATGTGAAAGCAGTTTTATTCTGTAAACGGTCAAAAGTCCAAGACTGCGGAAGTTCTTTGCAGCATCCCCCAAGGATCATGCTTAGGTCCCCTCCTTTTTATTGTGTACCAACGACTTTGAGGTTTTCTTGGACTTTGCCAAAGCAAACATGTATGCAGATGATACACATGACAAACATGTATGCTGAGTTTAATTTCAAGTTGTTTAGTGCCAGATTCAAAATGCATGTGAACTGCAAGCATGGGACTATGAAATCTGTTTTAGTGGCGGAGTGACGAAGGAAAAGAAGGCGTCAAGGGAAAAGAAAAATACTAATTTTTTCAGTACATACAATTATCTCAGAGTCAAAGAAAACAGTTTTGACGAAATATTGAACCTTGTTGCCTCAGTTATCAAAAAGAAGGACACAAAATGCTTCGGGCTGATTTTTATTTCTTCTTTCGCTATTTTAATTTAATGTCCTCTTGAAACATGCCCAGCCACAGCGACTGGTTCCCACAATAATCCTCGACGGTTTTATCATTTAGTACCGCACACAGCATGATTCTTGTCTTTGATCGTCGGCGACCCAAATAAATATCAAACATGTTTGCTCTACAAATCTTTCGTTCACGATCAAAATCTTCGGAAACTTGCTACCGATCATAGCATGATTTCTCACCTCAACGACAAAAATTGTAATTTTCGACGATAAAAACTACAGCGTGTGCTAGGCTTCAGTCTCCGAAAGTGTGCTTTTGCTGCTACGCGCTAAGTGGATTTCACATTAATCCTCGACGATTTTTTTCGCTGAACACCGCCCTCAGCACGATTTTTGTCTCTGATCGTCAGCGACGAAAACATTTCAAACATGCCTGGTCTTTGAATCTGATGTTCGCGATAAAAACCTTTGGTAGATTCTTGCCGCAAAAAAACACGAAATTAAAGTTAAAGCAGATTGAAAAACACCAAAAGTTAAAGCAGATTTCATCCAGTCATGCACTAAGGTTGTTCTGATGAATGACTTAGATCGCGGAGATCTGAGACTTGCTCTTAGAAGAATTCTACAAGAAGAGTTCAACAATGCAGTTTTTTCATTGGCTTTTGCTCAGATTCTTCCACCTAATTGGCTCGCTGTAAAGTCTTTGCTATTGTTGACCAGGGAGTCATGACCAATCAAATATTACATAACCTTTGTCCCGACAATATTCGCCATAAGTGCACTAGAAGATCACAGTTTTTAGAGTATAGAACCAAAAATCATAGAGATTCGCAGTTGCCATTAGTTAAATTATAAAGTTATAAAATTATTACTTACATATAGAGTTAGATTAGAAAATGCAAAATGAATTTTTTACCTCTCTGGTGTCAAATAACGTCATCCCTGACAGCATCCGCGAAAAAAAATCAATCGCTCGTTTTAAAACCGGGTTTAGCGAATATTTTTTGAACTTTTAAATGTACAGGACCCAAACTTGGTATGCAGCGATTTATCCTATTTTTGTCTTTCCCTTACACAAATATTATTAATAGGTTGGTAGTTTGTAAATTTTTCAAACTGAAAGGTGTTCGTGTATGAATGTTGATGAAAATGAAAATAAACAGAAATCTTTCGATGTAGAGAGTTTGATTCCATCTATAACCAAATAAAAACAGATTGTCGAAGCAGCATAGCTCCAGAAACGCTAAACAAATATTTCCATGTCGCGATGAATGTGCCTGACCTTGCAAGTTTCGGTTTCCATTCTGCTGCAAAGGCGCAAAGACGCCCCAATCATTCTGCCCCAAAGGCCAAGTAGCAAGATTTGTTTACAACTTTTGCTTATCGTCTTATTAATCCATTCCACATATTGTTACAAATACTCTTTTTTAGGATCTTACCCAACTAGGATTTAATATTGGCATAAATGAGTGCAAGCAAAGTTCAACACCCAACTTTTATTAAAAAGTTGATCATTATCTTCAAACATTTCTAATTTTTGTCACTGTCAAGTAAATTTTTCAGGCAGTTTTCCACATTCAAGGCAGTTTTCCACATTCAAGCAACTTTTTGTAGCAATCCCCGTCTTCGTTGAGAGTTTGAGAAGCTCAGTACGATTGTAGTTTAGAAAATGATTTTTCTCACATTCAACTAATAGGATGGTAGAGTTTTGATATTTTCTTTGTTGTCAATACTTTGTTCAAATTAAATCTTGAAATTATAGATCTCCAGCTTCTAAACGGTTCTTCGACAGCTACATTCAATCCTTGCAACGTGGCTCGCCCTCGAATTGCGATTCACAAACAGCATTTCATTAAATAATAATTTGAGCCAGCAGAAAAACACTTGCGTTATTCTCTACTTTTAAAGAATAGCTTAATTGTAAGCCACGTGCGAGCGTTTACGGTTAACTACAGAGATGAAAAACTGTATTTTTGAACACAATTATTTTTGTATGCAATATACACAAAATTGTTGTGCAGATTCTATCTTTGAGAATCTTCACAAGAAAATAACCATCTGCTGTTTTTAGAAGATAAGCAAAAAGCAGTTTAGTAACACATATACGGGGGGCGTCATTAGACACCTAAGGGTGGTTACACATACGATATTCTGGAAAATTTCGTAGGTGTATTACATTTTGATAAAGGGTTATCATCAGAAGAAGGTTTAACATATATCAACGATATACGTGTAATATGGGGAGTGGATATAGAAAAAGGGATAGTGTAGATAGTTGGTGGAACTTCATTAAATAAAAAATTTGCAAGATTATTGATGCGAGAAGTCTGGCTGAAAAGCAATTGCTTTGCCAACTATCTCGAGCTTGTTTTAGAGAATGCTACTTCTTATTCACCTTCTATCTACTTCTTCTCAAGCAGACCTTTCTATGAATATGGCAAGGATGGTAGTTCACTTGCAAATAGGCATTTCTAGAACTGCAGATTTATTGATAGTTATATTTATTGTTTTCTTTCTTCCCAGTACCCAACTTGGCTGAAGGAGAATAAAACAAAGTTGAGCGAGGATGACTACGGGCGTTACGTGCGCCAACAAGAGCTTGTATCGAGACTTTGTTGCGAATTCGAGGGAGAGACCGAAAATGAAAGTGACGAAGGAAAGAAATTACGTTTGGATAGAATCATGGATTTAATGCAAAAGGTTTTTATTCAATTCACTTATATCATACTAAATTTGTCTTGTTTCAGCTCAATATCGTACGCTGATGTTCTCGATAGATACATCAGCATCAAACAATTTTCTTACTTTCAGAAATTTCGATTTATAGGAACGTGCCAAATTATTATTTCTAAACCTGTTTTAATCAGAGCAGACATGAGTAGCCGTCCGTCCATTCTTCTAAGACACGATTGACACTGCAATAATTGAGGCTTAAGCTCTAGAAGCAACTTCTGCAAGGTTAACTATGGGTATTTGTTGTATAAACCAATACAGACTTTGTTCCCATTGCCAACTGCTAAAAAAATTTCCACGGGTCAGAGAGTATATATCCACAACTGGGTATATATATTTCCTAGCGTAGAGTTTTCTATCTATGTTCTGACGTTTTAAACTCTGAAGAGTGTCAGACGAAAAGCTTTAGTTTACTAAATGTTTGCTTTTTTCAAAGCCATTTTCAAGTTTTGTTCCACCAAAAGAAAGTTCATTTTGCGTGCTACCATATTTCCCTAGTTTATTTAACAGTATTTCATGGCTAATGGTATCAAAGGCTCTACTAAGGTCCAAAAACAGACTTATATTAATCTTTTTTTCATCTTTGTTCTTGTACCAGGTATCAGTTACATTCATTAACGAAGTAATCGTTGAGCGTAGCTTGCGATAGGCAAATTGGTTATTGGACAAGAGATGGTTTGCGGCTAGGAATTCTAAAAATTGGTTGTGGACCACTTTATCAAATAACCTTGAAACACCTGAGAGAACCGATATAGGTCTATAGCTATTCATTTCAGACTGTTGCCTGATTTAAATATTGGTGTTACTCTTGCTATTTACCATTTTTCAGGGAAAACCCCCCGCCAAAGCGATTCATTAAATATTATTGCAAGAGGTATACAAATCAGTTCTGCTGCATCTTTTAGTACTTTGATTCTTTTAGCCCCTTTAGTGCGGTTAGTATCCAATGCTTTGTGACGGATTTGAACCTAATCCTAGCAGGTTTTTCTATGTCTGTTAGTTATTGAGTAGGGTCATCTTTGGATTTAACTTCAATTTTGCTAGCTAAGGAGTGGCCCACATTGATAAAATGTTCATTGAAAGCAGAGACTAATTCTTCTTTATCTGTTATTTGCCTGCCTTCATGTTCTATCAGTGGCTGTGACAGCTCTTTATTGTTCATGAAATGGTCGGTAAATCTTTAGCTGGTACAAAATTTCTTAGTTGGTCGGTGAATTCGCCAAACGCTTGGTAAAATAGCATCTGAATTTCTCTTTATCCATGTCTTCGTTAGTTTATTTTGCTCTTGATAAGTGGTGACTACCGCTGAAATTAGATAGAAGGTCGACCACACCCTTTAGACCACATCCATTTCCTGGTCACACCCTGCTTTCTAAAACAATTATTGTTTTCTCTAATTTCTTATGTAGACCATTTTCAAGACACAAGCTTCGCTTTTGTGAAACGTTAAGTATCCTTGCAATAACCTCGAGAAGCAACAAACTATCGTTGCTATTACTCTGAGGCTGGATATTTTAAAATATTTACAGCATTAAGCCTAAGCAACACCATAGAATAAGAAAACAAAAGGATATTTTTGGCAGAAATTTGAAATGTCGCCTAGAACTCACATTAAATTGTGCAATTACTTATGAAAAATCAGACCTGGAAATTACAAGTTTAAAAAGCCATCTAAAGTTTGGAACCTTTGAGAGCAACTTTTATTAAAAAAATAATCATACTTCTGGCGAACTTTGTGTTTGACTTTTAATCCTAGTATCTTCTTAAATTTTAGCTACTTAATGTTCTTATAAACTATATTCATATTGATATTTGTGTATTGTACTAAATAATGGGTCACATTGGCTTTGAATATGAAGTTTGCCCGCTTGCTGAATATGTAGTGATCCCTCCATCTTTCTGTAACGTTTGAGTTGTGTTGAGTGACAGTACTACTCAACCCCCATCTGAGCGGTAGTCAACTCGGTTGTTCATTGGTTGTCAACAAAAGCTGCATGCATCCCCCAGGTTGGCTGTGGTTTCTAATGATTTGATTGGTCTAGGCAGGTTGCCGCTCTACACCGACTCAACCCCCTTAACTAGCAAGCCACGATTTCATCATTCCCCCGTGCTAGCTTTTTTTGCAAGCATCTGACTCGGCACGCAATTTCCATGGCGATTAGGACTCAAAAGCATTTCTGTCTGTATCACAATCACAGGCATGGCTGGAGGGAGAAATGTTTGGCTTGCAGCGCGATCAAATATTTTCAATTTTTAACTATGGTTTAGTTAAAGTAGTAGGGTAAACATAAAAAATGATCCTTGTTTTTATAATTTTTAATAATCTGAAAACCGCTCGAGCGGTAATGGTGGTAGTCTGGATCCGCCACTGTTGATAACCCTTCGTTCCCGCAGTCTGAAAGGTCAAGCTACGCCACTGTTAGTGGTTCGGGTATATAATGCCCTCGCAATTCGACTATACATTTTAATAAACAATTCACGCCAATTTTGTTTAGAAACATTTTTAGTGAAAGCTAAGTCAATATTTGTTCATGTATCACACTTTTGTAAAGATTCTTGTGATATCATCTGAAAAAAATATCAAACTTTTGTGTCTACTGTAAAACGTACCACTGATAATCAATTATTTATCATATTATCATTAAGCTCTTGTGCAAGACTCTTTAAAAGCTTAAAGATAATCTGGCAAGTTGCGCACCGGGAATAAGTAGATGAAAAAGAGTGCGGTTGTTATCCTGGCCTGGATGGCTCCTTTGCTCGTCATCGTCCTCTACTGTTTGTCGCTGTCCTCGATGGTTGCATGCACTGGAGCTGTCTATGTCTTCACGATTAGACCTGATTTGCTGCTCCTGCTGGAATCCATTCTTGCCCAATCGTTATCATGCACTCTAACATCGTGGTAGCCGACACTGTTGTTCATTTTGAGCCAAATTGAAATTCTTCCTTGTTAGGTTTATTTAGCACTTTTATCTTTCAACAACAGTGCCTGCCAGCATAGTCAATAGAAATACGTTAGCTGCGAGAACAATGAGCTTTCTCCATAGAAAGTACCTAAGCTCGCCTTCAAACTTTGACAGTCACACAGATAGTTCTATCTTGAGGTACACGTTGTGGTATCCGTTACCATGAAAAATAAATCATTAATGAATATATTGAATGGAAGAGATGCGAAAACTCATCCTTGTGGTATATTTGCCAATGTTTCACGCCACATGCTCAACAAACCATTAACGTTGATCTATAAAAAATGGGGGAGCCTCGGCGAACCTTCACCTCTTCCTAGCATTGAGATCACTGTGCCGTGTTGAGTCTGTGTTCTGCCACAGAGAGAAATACAGTTATCCCCGTAAGCAAAAAGTCATCTTCAATTGATATAATCCTAATGAAGAAAGTCTCTGGTTTTCGGCAGATTTATAGCTAGTAGGGCATCGTATCAAATTTTTCCATTCATGGGCATTCATGAAATCACGTATTTTCCAATTTGTTTCTTGCCAATCTAAATCTACACTACATCGTTTTCTTATCGAGGTCCAAGACTTTTGCAACCTTTTCAAAGAATAATCTTTTGCATTGAGAAGGAAAGTGGTAGGCCCTGATCAGTGTCCAGTGGCAATGTTCATCAGTTTTATTTCATTTGTTGGAATTTTGTCTAAGATATTCACCAGAATTCTTTCACCCCTTGAATTTCAACACAAAAAGTTCTTTAATGATTACATTGCTTCACAGTTGAATAGCGGAACTTTGAAATAACAAATAATTTTGGATACAGGAACAGTTCTGAACGAGTTTAAACTTGTTTCAATTGATATAGCCTTTCGTTTTTTAAAGCCCGCAATTTTCATACTTCAAAGTATGTCCCAATTTTTAAGTATGATTCATTTCAACCAACAGATGCAACAGTGTGGCCATCCTCCATCGGATCTACTTGGACCGGTAAGCAAGTTATTCGTCTTCTTGTCACTGTCTTTTTTGTCAGATCTATCATATACAGTTGCGTTTAGATATACTATGCTTGATATTATATTACGCGAGCATTCCTTTAAATTTTACCATTATCTTTATGATGCATTTTTTAAACAACTCCTGGTAATCAGCAAAACAGCTTTCTATTAACAGAATTTTTGTTTTTTGTCATGATGTAAATCGCTTCTTTTTCCCGTACTTTTCGCAAGGTTTTGTGGCCGAATCTAACTTTTTACCAGTGTTCCTTGAAAACTCAAACCCAATATCCAAGGTACTGTCTCTGATGTTTGCTTGGCCCCCTTTTTGGAGAACAAAGTGACAAGTTGGCATCCTGTATCCCCAGCCCCCTTGACAACACTCTGCATCCCTAAGCCGCCATTTTCCCCGAACATTTTTCTAAAAGTCTTAAATTTACTTTTTTAGGATAGTGAATCAAACCCAGATTTTAGAAATTGGCCAACTGGAGTGCAAAGTGATGAACAGTGTGTGTGCATGTGATGTACATATATTTATATATATAAAATTCAAATATATGTATGTATTGGAAGTCAACGCTTGTCGGGCTTCAGTGGTACATCGTTACCAACACTTGCCTAAAGAAAATATCCCTTATTTGCAAACATTCAGTTTGTATAAGGTAGGGAATCCTCAACGATGTCCATAAGTTTGAAATATAATGTTTTGTAACTGTGCTCTTAGGCAATTGTTTACCATTCAATCGCAGTATAGATAGAATACAGTTTAGACTTAATATTTTAGATACAGTTTCTAAGAATACAAAAATCAATTTCTTTCCAAAATTCATCTGTTCTTTCCATGTACAAACCTGATTTTTAACAAGTTTGTTCCAGTGTCCTATTAGAACCTGTGAGCTAAACCTTGCTTTGCTTGTCATATCTCTTTTTTTTGTAATCATATTCCAAGTTTCATGGTAATAGCCAAGGGCCTGCATTTAATTTGAACCGTAAATTATTATGTGCTTTCCATAAAATATTAATATCAGTCGAGTCATTGTAATTGATGTTCACGTTTCATAAGCTGGCTCATTTCTTACTTGTGCCCTCTTGTAAGAATTCGTGGCTTTTTAACACCTTCTTCGTTGCAGTTTGCTTTCTCGACTCGTCATCCCAGTATCAAGGCAGCAAATGGAAAGATTGCTAATTTATTAAAAATAGTATTTACCGTAAATTCATTTTAGCCCCCCGAGGGGCTTATTGTTTTCCAGATCTTTAAAGGGGGGCTATCAGAGAGGCGGGCTAAATTGAGAGAAGGGGCTCAGTAAATTTTTTGTAATAAAAAACCATTTATTTGCGAAGTAAAAAACATCAATTATTAATTCTAAAATATTTTCTTGGGCCATGTCCAGGGGCGAAACTACTGGGGGTATGGGGGGTGCTGCACCCCCCCCCCCTTCAAAAAAGCAGATTTTGTCGGGCAAATTTATGGCTGCCAGTGTATCTGTCGGGCAAATCTGGAAATTTTCTTTAGATCGCACTTTTATTGCTACTTTTTGGCCTAGATTGGTTTTTCCCCCATCTTTTTTTCAATCTCCTCCCAGTTGGGAAAACAAAACAGAAACGAGGCTAGGAACAGTAACATATATATAAATTTCTGTCTTTTGTCCACTGATCAGCGCTTTCGTCTCGAGCTCGACAGGCACATGTTTATCTTCGCCTCGAGATGAAGTCTGAAGTATTGATCAACAGCGAAAGTATAGACGGAAAGTAAAGTGTGTTTGGTGCGAGAAGAAAATGAACACTGTGCATACCCATTCCCCCTACTTTTTGCAAAACAAGAGAGCTTTTTACAAAATCTTTGTTTGTGATTTCTAAATTTTCCCTTGACAAGCCCCCGCCCCCCCGCCTGTGTTTTGGTGTTCCACTTTGATAAAATTGAGACCCCACTTCAATCCCCTTTTTTGAATTGCTCTTTTAATAGCTAGGTGATTTAGAAAGTGAAGACCTTACAAATGCTTGCTTTTCGGAGACAAATGTTTATAGCCACCAGAAAAAATTGGGGGAATATTTCTTGACTTTAAACAAACAGCCTGAGTCTAAACTCTCTCGGACTTCCCTATGATTTCAGCCCTTGAGGCGATGTGCTCTAAAAATTAAGTTCATGTATGATACGCCCTTTCATCAAGCATGCCACGCCCTTTTTCGGGCATCTAAGCTTCATACCCCCCTAATGAAAATAGTGCAGTTTCGCCCCTGGCCATGTCGCCTTCTGAAATCAAGCATTCTGAAAAGTCGACTTCATCCCTCGGAGTACCAACGGCCTGTAATTTTGGTAAAAGGCTCTCACATGGCCCGTTCTTAATGCACATTAAATGTTTGTCTTTGGATCTGTCGTGACTGAAAGGGACATGGTGTGAATGTTGATTTGATGCGAAGTATTGAACGACCAATGAATAAAATGAAAATCTCTGTTATTTGTCAAGTTTACTTATTTTGGCATCAGTGAAAATAGGGGGGGTTAAATTTAGAGGGGCGCAATTTGAATTTTTCCTTCTGAAAAGGGGGGCTAATAAGAAAAGGGGCTTAATTGAGAGGGGGGCTTCAAAGATAATTTACGGTAAGCGAGAAATTTGTCAAAGAATTGTTGTATCTGCGACAATAGCTGCAATCTGTTTAGATTTCTCTTAGGAATAGTGACTATGGTCTAAGATACCGCCACGTTTCATTTACACCTGCTTGTTGTAGTTCTTACAAACTGTCCTTCTGCGAAGTTAAAATGTCCCATAGAAGCAGCCTTTGGACATGTCGCGAATTCAAGTATTCGTCAGATGGACGCATGTCGATATTGAGAAATTTATGGCTTGGCTTGGCTTGGCTTGGCTTGGCTTGGCTTGGCTTGGTTTGGCTTTGCTTGGCTTGGCTTTGCTTTGCTTTGCTTTGCTTTGCTTTGCTTTGCTTTGCTTTGCTTTGCTTTGCTTTGCTTTGCTTTGCTTTGCTTTGCTTTGCTTTGCTTTGCTTTGCTTTGCTTTGCTTTGCTCCATAACGCATCAGAGTTTCTAAGCTATGGGTAGAGTTAATCTGTTGGAAAATTGAGGCAATATTTGCACTGATTTTTTGCAGCTGTCTCTATTTCCCTTTTTTGCGAATGTTTCTACCTTATCCCCAAGCATGATCTAAAATATTTTTGTAAAATTCATCAAATGGAGTTTGGAACCTCTGATAGTGATATACATACTTTCACGCGTCAAATTTTTATCTCGAAGAAGCATCCATATGAAGATAAAGTTCAGGAACAAAGCAAAACGGCGACGAGATTCCAATGTAATTCAAAATAAATTAGATAATACGAATGCTAATATTTCGCCCTGGCATACAGAGCTTCATCAGAGTGATATGCTAGCTTTAGGGATGTTGTGGTGATTGTGTATAATTTGGCCTGACTGAGAATTCGTAACATCGGGAAGAGCAATGAGGCAGACTTGAATGTCATATCACTGATGTTGATGTTTTGTGTACAATCTTGACAAATTATGATTGCATTCTTTGACAATTTATAAAGCTTCTTGATATTGGTAGAGGAACGAAGATACACCCCAGGTTTCATCACGCGATTTGAAACAAGGAACTCAGTCGTTGAAGATACGTGGAAACAAAGAAACAAGGAACTATTGCCCTTGAAGATACGTGACGCACACTCGCTAATACTGATGGAGAAGTTTTAACTAGAAAGCTCCCTGTTAGAACTTCATTCTAAGCTTCAAGAGCTGAGTGGGGAAATTCTTTTTTGGCAAACTCTAAATTGCACTGCTTGATCTGAAGATCTTTACAGATCGCGTGTCATGACTAGAGTACAAGGACCTTTCGTAGTAAATCTCAAGAGCGTTGTTCCTATTATCATCACTATTATCAGTACTATTATCAGAGCGTCAGTACTTAAAACTGTCTGTTTGCGTGGGAACTGAGAGAGAATCTTTTTCCAGAAAAGTACCTCACAAAAGACACTCAAATATGAAATTAATTCAGTAAAATATAAGTTGTAAAACCGAACGAAGTTCTACCAAAAGATAGGACGAGAACCATTCGGTTTCATAGCCCTTTTTTGGCTTTCTATTTTTTCAATCAATGTTATAATTTCTATTCAAAGTTTAGAAATTCTAATTCATGCGAAATGAGAATCAAAGACAGCAATCAGTTCATGATTCAAAACAACGGTACTCCTTAGACACTAGTCAACGACCGCTCAGATTGCTCCAACGATGCCATTTTAACCTTCCCAGCTTTAATTGAAATTCATGAATTGGTTGCTCACATTGCGGTATCGATGACAGCAATCAGCTAACAGAAACAAATTTACTGTATACGCTAATTATATATTTACTGCTTTGATCCAATCCTACTCATTATCTTTGCCATTGGTGTATCAAAATCTCGACACAAGTCTGCTTGTACTTAAACAAATATTAACACAATATCTTTGCCATTTTTCCCTTAAAAAAACTCTAAATCGAAGCAAAAGATTATCTGACTTGTGTGGATTTCATAGAGATGACAGATATTGAGAGTTTTTATTGGTTAGCGTTCGCCAATTGGTCAACAGGATGAACCAATCATCGCCATTCTTTCTTTCAAGCAACTATGTGGATTCACAATAGAGTTCTGAATTGTGACGTCATCGAAAAGTCATTTTTAGAAATTTTGAATTTTAACTACTTAAAAAAAAGATCACCATGAAATACTTTCAAATATGCAAAATTGGCAAAATATGTCTAAAATCGGTTGAGATATGGCCAATGAAAGCTTTTAAGTTTACTAACGAATCACTATTATGAACAGAGACCAAAATACAGAGGTTTGATGGGGAAAAGCCAATACACATACAATCTCTACACAAGTGGTCATATATCAGCCAATCCGTAACACAATTGACGGATTTTGCACATTTAGAGGCATTTCATGATGGTCTTTCAGGTTATCGGATCCAATTCAAAAAATACTAAATATGAATTTTGTGACGTCATCACTTTAGAACTCTCTTTCGTGATCAATTTCTGCAATTCAATGCAATTCAACAACTGACTGGAAGAAGTTCAAACTTCAAAATGGCGTCCGACGTGCAGCTGGAGAGCCTTCAATATGTTTTTTCCTTGATCCATGCTGGCGTGGATCCAGATATACCTGGAAATGGGGGAATCAAATGTTACAATTATCTTACAATTAATCAAAGGCTTGCTGACACTTTTTCTTATTTGATGTTTCTTTTTCTGTGCGTTGTTCCTCTGGCACTTCGAAAAGTCAGAGCCGCCCAAGGTAACGTCAACAAATTAAACGAAAGCCAGGAGCACCATGAATCACAACAGGGCAAGAAAATCCTTCTTGTGGCGCTGTGTATAACATTTGGAATTGAGCTTGGGTACAAATTATCAACCAAACAGCTAATTTACCTTCTGAATCCTTGTCACATCGTCACAGTGTTACAGGTAAGCTCTGAATCTGAAGCCATATACCTACCGTGACATAACGCGAATAAGCAGACACGCCAGTGTTAAGGAGGCAGTGGGTTTGGGTTTGTCCCAGGGACCAGTATAGCAGAACCAAATTGATAAATGCTGACACTGCTACAAAATGTGCTTATCAAACTGAAATAAAATTGAAGTAAGGCCAGTTTGGATTCCATGGCAGCTGCACTCCCGCAATTTTTTTAAAAAATTACAGGTGGACTCTTACATGCACACCCAAGTGATGGGCATGACTAATTTTTACGAAATTCTCCTGCCATGGTTGGGCAAAAAAAGCCACTAGGGTCGTGTCGTCCTGATTGAGTATGTACCTGGAAATATGGAATTTACATCGCTTCAATTATTGCAAAAACATTGGGAGATTGGGGCTAAGCTTCGACCAAAATAGCACGAAATCATGTGTTTACACCATTTATCAAAGTTGAGAAAACATTTTGCGTTCAATTACTCAATTGATGAATGAATAATTGGATAAGAAAATGACTCACCTAAAACGAAGAAGTATGTGTTTGCCATTCTGTGTAGGATGTTTTCAGTACCCACTTTTTCATATTTTTTAAAGGGGTGCATATTTTAGCTGCTAACCTAGCAATTTTAGGCACATATCATGCATGAGGAATAAGGATCTGTGCATAAATCGCTCAATTTTCAATTTGTTTGCCACAGAGAGGAGTGAAATAAAGCTGACTGACTTGGCCCAAGTTCGCCCAAGGCCCTGATTGGGTACATTAGAATGGCTGTCTCGGTTCGGTGGTTGTTTCGCATTCATGCTCAAAACAAAACCTGTATATATCCAATTGTCAAATATCTTTAAAAAAATACTCTAGAACGAATTTGATACATTTTGAATACAATTTTCGGCTAAAATATTGAGTTTGTCAAAGCCGTAAATCTTGGTTCCACCCAATTCATGGGACAAGAACACTTTTAGAATGTCTGTGGTCACCTGCCCTGTTTTATAAAACTTTAGTACTCTGAAATTTGTTTGAAATGATCACTCTCCGGCTAAAGATTTGACTACGATCCTTTTTAATTATAAGCTTAAATTGATTACACAATATTTTTTTCTTTTCTTCGTTGATATGGAAGCTGTTGAAGTCATATAGCACCTTAATGTCAGGACTTATGAAGACGTAGAGCTAATGTCACCTCTCTCAACTCTTTCACCATCTTTATATGCTGTAGCCTTATATGCTGTTGTCCTTGTATTTGCCAAAGACAGTCACAATCTTCGTGTGCTTGTTTGGAATGGTGACAGTATTTGGGTCTCCCTTTGTCTCTTGGTAGATCCAGGACAAACCAAACATTTGGCTGCAGCAAGTTTAAAGCTGTCTGTACCTGTTCAATTTATCCGCATGTGCTAGTTCTTCGGAGCTAACATTGGTCACTTGTGCCAATAAGTCCTAACAGTCTTTCTGATGGCACCATCTCCATTAATGAGAGCCATTGACACAGGTGCAAGTGGATACCATAGCGTTCTCTCGAGATCAACACCTGCATCATGCTTGGTCGAGTGCACCATTTAAAGGCCAATAATGTCTCCCTTAAAATTGTTTTTTTTCTTTAATCTTCAGCTTATTTTCACAGACGAATCCTTGAAGGTTGCTTCCAGTTTTTTTAAATAGAAGGCAAGTTTTTTCAAGGGCACTGTTGGGCTTTAATGGAGCTACAACTCGAAAAAGTTTTAGTTCAAAATCATTTTTGAAGAAGGATGGCTGACATATTGCAAATATATACCACCTAATGCTATAATTAATATTTAAAAATGCCAGAGGTCTTTGTAGCCAGATCCATTTTTGATACAAATAACAGAAATTTGTAACAAGAAACAAAGTGATGTAGAAAATTTATCTTCAGCATTTACCTGGCAAAAAGTTTCCTTGGAGTCACCATAAAACACCCCCTCCCTCTCCCATATGATCTGATATGATTTCGTTCCACATTCACAGCGGAATGGTCTGACTGCGCAAAAACGATACGGAGCGTATCGGATTCAAGCTTCATCGTGTGAACAGAAGGCCTGTCCGATTTTAAAAGCGATCCGATACGAAATAAATCGGGTATCGTGTGAACAGGGCCTTAATTTGTGACAACTATGTTCATTATCATGTTACCAGACAAGGTTTAAAGACCCCATACCACCAACAAGGGTCTCATCACATTAGAAGACTCAGCCTGCTTTACCTGGCTGGCTCGGTTTGCCAAGATCTCACTTTGATTGACAAACTCTCATAAAACGCAACTTGCTATCACATGAGAACCGGGCTGGCCCGGATAACCGAGATCTTGCTTCTGGCAAGTGGGATCCCGGTTAAACGGGCTGAACTTTTGCCACATGATAGCTCCAGCCTGGCAAAGCGGGCTGGAAATAATAGAATTGTGCTCATTCCCAACAGCATATTGATCTACCATTGTTCTGTGCGACCAGGATTAAACCAAATAGTTCTTTTCTTCCTCTCCATTTTTCGTTGGTTCAACATTCCTTTTTCGTTTCAAAAGGTTCTTCTTTTTGAAAGAAAAATAATAGCAATAGACTGTGAATGTCATGGCATACTGCTTGTAGAGATGATAAACTCATCTCTACAAGCAAAACTTAAACTCATTTTTTTATAAGAAACTGGCTATAAGAAACAAGTACTACAGGACAGTCAAAAAAAGTTTTGTAAAATCCAAGAACATGATTGCCCTGATGTTCTAGAAATTAACACACAAGGGATAAAAATATACTTCCCACGTCTAAATACAGTGTCAGAACGGAAGCTAATCTCTTGACGTGAAAAAAGGCCACAAACATTTCATAACATCATTCATGACATCATAATTAAGAAACTCTTAAGAAACAGTATTGGAATTTCCAGAACATTAAGAAACTGGAGTACTCAACATCGACCTTTGTTGCTTATAAAAAAAATGAATGTAGAGATGAAAATACAAGAGCCGCAGATATGTTCTCTTTGTTGGTAGCCATTTTTGAAATCTGGGCGGGCAACGTAAAGAACAAAAAAGCGGTGGCATCAATAGTACTGGTATTACCATTTTTCCATGGGATTAAACTTGGCGAAAAAGTTTGCTTCGAGGTGCGCAATGCACCTATAAATTAGTAGATTAGCAACGCACCTACTAAAAACTTTACGGGGAGGCCTGTAAATGAACTATTAAGTCAATTAGATGTGATTGCATGTGAAAAATTTCCCAACTTTAAATTTATGATTATTGTCAATGGCCCATGTTGCGTGAACTTCTATTGCAAATAAGCCTTTCTCTTTAAATGTTGTAAAGATTTGTATGAGGAGTCTCCTATTTTATTGCCATAACCATCAACTCAGATTGCAATGCTAGTTCATATTATACATCAACCTCTTATTTTTGTACATGAGCAAAAAGCACCTTTTGATTACCATTTCTATTCTGTATTTGTTTCTTCTAGATCTATTTTCTTGTGGCAAAAGAAAGTGCTACAGTGCACATTCTGTTTAGGTAACACATTTAATTTAGTTCATATGTTCGCCATCTTTATGCACTATTCTTTGTAAATGTAATTAAACCTGCCATTGCTTCTCAACAATAAGATGTCAATGGCTAATTTTGCTTTGCATTCAATATTTGCAATGAAAATCAGTTGCAACAAAATCTTGATTTTTCCATTTTGTGCTTCCTCGACTTCTTATTTACCATTCATTCTTTCGGTTTCCTTTGATTTGTTAGTATTCATTATATATTTCATCAAGTATATATTTCTAAATATTTACGTCACCTTGGTTTTTATGGTTTTGACTGCTATCCGGTTTGCTGATCTTTTTTTCTGCTTTCAGGCTTCATATACATATTTTGTTTGGTGCCTTTCTGGCAATGATCTTGCCTGTTGTCAACACTAGAACAGTAAGTATCATTTCTTTATGTAGGAACAAAATTTGGAGTATTATTTCTTCAAACATTCTCATACCAAACCTTGGAGGTGACTTTCAATAATATTTTTGATTGGGCTAAAATTTCCTGATCTCTTGAAATGTATTATTAGCTTACCAAGATATTATTGTTCAGTTAGCTGATAAGTTATAAACAACCTCATCAGGGTAAAAAATTCAGGAAAAAATCAAATCTCTTAAGAAATTAAGTTAGGGAAAGGTTTAGTGACTTACCAACATTTGTCAATTTTCTCCAGTCATATTACCATTTTAGTTGTTGTTCCTGACTTACACTCTCTTTTTTTATAAGAATCAGTACATTTAAGCTCAGGCTGACAGTTCTTAATTTTTTCGAAAATCGGAGGCTGGATTGTTCTTAATTTGTTCTTAAATTAACAGGATGTAAGGCGATTGCTATCTTTTTCGCTCTAAGGGGTGTTCAGGCCTCATTTGCCAACAAAGACAACCTTAATTCGCTGTCAAGTTTGAATATTAACCGAATAATTACCCAAGCATGGGTAAACGTTTATGAGATAAAACGTCGTTCAAAATTGCATTTTGCAGAAGCTCAGCCTCAGCTTGTTCTTAATTTGTTCTTAGCTTTTGACCAATTTTGAGGCTCGTGTTCTTATAAAAGCGAGTGTAAATTTCAAGCATGCAATACAATTGAAATTGAACTATTCATGTTAACAACAGAATTTTCTTTATACCTAGCCTACCACCATAGAAAATGCAGTTTTTGAAAGGGGTAGATAATCAAGGAAATGTAATATTAGTCATTCTGAAATAATTTAGTCGCTTTTTTCCAGTTTGTTACTTTTTGGTAAGGTAAAGAATTTGTCCTTCTAATATGCTACTTCTTGTTAGATTACTCAATATTGCTGTTGCCAAGAAACTGCAGGAGAATAGGAACTCTTTCCTAAAAGTTGGAAAGAGTTCCCCAATCTTTTAAAAATTGGAAAGAGGAAACAAATGGTAAATACAACAGCTATTCTGCTTCAGCTTCCAAGAAAAGCTTGTAATTGGATTGCTAGCTATATAACAGAGTAAATATTTGCTTACAAAGACATCGATTGGCAGGGTAGCAGCCCCGTCAAAAAGATTATATTGAAGTCGCCTCCAAGGCTTGGTATGGGGATCTTTAAGTGAATAATTCTGTTTCATTAAAACAGGCGTGAAAAGATTGATTATTTGCAATGATTATGGAACAATGAGCTTGTCCCAAGCACCGCAACAAGATGAAAAAAACAGCATCAGAAACGACGACGACGAGAACCCAATGCAATGAAGTAGAGTTTTAATGTATTTTAAAATTCTATCTAACTACATTGGTTTCTCGTTGTGTTGCTTCTTTGTTCCTGACTATTACGCTCGAATTATTATTCATTTCAAGGTTCACAGAATCTGGTGGACAGCTTATTCTGTGTCTCTTCCTTCTTAAACATAGATTAAATACTTATTAATATTCTAGATACATTTCCCGGCTATCCCTAGAATGGAATATTTGCAAAATTTTTCTTTAGAGTATTCGTATAATGTAGGTCTGGAAATAGATTTCAATTGAACGAAAATGAGAACATGATAAGAATGGAAAAATAAGCTGAACTTGGAACTTGATAGTTATATTTCGATGACAATATTTCGATGTATTTCCTTCGTCTTCAGTTGGTATTTCGACATTACCTAGTATTTCCTGACAATTTCAGCTGCCTGGTGAAGTAGCTACATATTGGATTCAACATATCTTGATATTTTTCATTGTGCCACCCTACCTTATATACAAAGGAGGTATGTATGTTTTTCATTTTAAGTTGAAAGGAAAAGTATAATAAAGATTGATGATAAGAACAGTCCTTGTCATTAAAACAACAATTTATCTGGCAGTTAACGAAACGGTTTGCAGTTTGACAGGTCACGGTGTTGGTACAGAATAGCTGAAGCTTGTTGCATCAAAAAACCCTTTTTAGCCGTTGAGCCAAACTTCAAGAAAATGTTTTGTCAAACCCATGAACTGTTGCAATATAGCATGTTAGCCGTGTGCTGTGAATTCGGAAACCCTCTGCTGGTAGTTCTTTGAAGTTTCTTAAAAAAATTCCCATACTAAGTTCATACAAGGTTAGATATATTTAACTGCATGCTTCTTTGCAATTGTGTGCCATTGTTACAATATTATGTTATTTTTTGTCTCGTTTCAGGCTGCTTTACCCCAGAGCCTTTGAATGATTATAGCATGGCATTTTTAGCACTCGTCGTGTTTGCAACACATATGTTTGTTATTTTACAGGCTATAGGAATGGTATGTTTCCACAAGCATTTGAACAATGTTTCCGTCAAAGCTTTATTGATTTTCTTCGTAGCACCGTGAAGCCCTTGATATCCTTAAGAACAGTGTCATAATAATTGTTCTTAGGTACATTAACTTGGAGCAAAAGTTTATCGAAAAAGACATTCCGCAAATCTGCCCAACAGCTTCCTTGTCAACCTGTAGTAAAACCCCTTCTGTTGTATTATTGCAACAACATATTCGATATACACTGAGAAGGATTCAATTGAAGTCTAAAAACTTACAACTATATTGGGCTAGTTAGCTCTCTTCACGATAATCTACTGAATTATCTCGAAATGCATGCCGCATTTTCCTATTGGCTTAATAGGCTATCGATTTGAGCAGACACAAATCGTCATATCAATATAAGCCAAAAGTTCCTACAGCATGGTCAACAAAAGATTTTTCTCCATTCATGTTCTCAAAGAAAGAAGACTAGAGACGCAACTTCTTTAAATTTGCAAGAAACCCTTTAGAAGAACTTCAACTATATTTAATTGCTTTTTTCTATTCAAAATTGCACAAAAGTTTGTGTTTTATTGAGGCAAGTCGTCAAATAGGTATTGGATTGCTTTAGATAGTTCTTAGAGAGCGGGTTAAGTCTTGTCTAACATTTTCTTATTGTATATTTTATATTGCCATTCCGCTTAAGAAGCACACGTAGTTGATGGCTTGCATTTTGCCTTTTACAGATGACACTTGTGAATTTGAATAATATGCTGTGTCCAGCTGTCAGTGATCCATTTCATGGACCGTACTACCGTTGGTTCGCCATTGTACACCAGTCTATATTAGCGCTATTCTTTGGAAAAGTGTACACTTTTGTAGTCATGAAATGTCTTAAGAAAATAAAGGGAAGCGATGTATCAAAGAAACAGGAATGACTGGTTTTGAATTTATATTAGATGTATTTCAGAGGAATATTGATTCTGTGTAACATATAAATCATTTTTTATTTCTTATACTCTTTTTTATATTTTTGTCAGATTATGTGCGAAAATAGATTACGTAATAAATAGCAAATCACGGATTGATCGATAATTAATATTTGAATATCAGTTTCCATTTGATTGTTTTTTCTTTATATCTAACATACTCCCTGTTTATTCTGTCAAGATGTCGTCGTTTTTAACCCTTGTACCAAGATCTCACAGACAAATATTTTCAATCGCTGCCTTTTTATACCAAAATTTGATTCCAGTTGGTAGAATTCGCGAGCTTTACGGCTGCGCTTGAAAAATTTAAGTCTTGTACATTTGTTTTTTGTAAGCTGCTAAGGGATTTAAATATGTTTTCAAATAATCTAACAAGGTGAATGATTCTCCCTTTAAAGTTCTCATTTAATGTAGGATGCAATTTCTAATCGACGATAACAGGCTTATTACCTTGAAATTTTGAACTACAAATACAAAGATGATTTGATGCTAATTTTATTTTAAGTTGTTTCTGTGACGTAAGATGTTTTCATTTTGTTTGCTTCATTGAGTTTGAATGGACGTCTGCTAATTAGGAGCTGCTAGAATCAAATAATTCTATTTGATAATCGTGCATTATTAAATAATTCTCGTGCGAAATTTTTTCAATTTTGATTTTTCCATAATACTTCTGTCACCCGTAAAGCTAAGCCCACTTTAAAGAAGAGTGTTTCATTTTATTTTTTGCTGGCTGATACGAAGAAAGAATCATGGTGCCTAGCTTGGTCACCATAGGACTTAACTGACTTACCACGCAGTGATGCGATGCAAATTACTTGCAGGGAGTAGTATAGGACACGGTGGCTTGCAAATTTTCACTGAACCAGCTATAGTTAACCAAAGGGCTGAATATTTTTTGTCAGATAGCTACATATCAGCAAAGATTGTTTAAGGTTTTGTAGACAAATACATAGCCACTCCACAAAATAATACATACTCTTCTGTTCAAAACACGATAAAGGATAAAGTATATCATGTGTCCAATACAATAGCTTTTGATGTAGAACAAGGTTGACAATTTTTCTCGAACCTCGTTCCTCTTTCTTTTCCCATTTCTTTTCCTCTTTCTTTTCCCCTTTCTTTTCCTCTTTCTTTTCCTCTTTCTTCTAAATCACAAAATCCGATCAGTGACTTCTAATCAATCAACAACTGGGTTTCGATACAAAGGTACTCATAATGTGCATTTTTAAAAGTCACAAGAATACTTTAAATAATATATTTTCAACAGAAACTGCCATATGCCGATTCTATTTATTTCTTCGCTTTCAAAAATACGTCATACCAGGGCCGTCGTTTGCTTTTGTGCGCAAGGGAGATTTCCAGGTCACATTTTCCGATAAACTGAGCGAGACATCATTTATTTGCCGTCAGGTTTTAAAATTATCTGACTTTCGAGACTTCGGTCTGCATTAAGTTTACACGATGCTTGTGCTCGTGATTTTGTGACATATACGGAACGGTTTTTACCGGAACTTTTTCTACAGACAAGGGGTTATACCCTCCTAACCTGTGCTCAGAAAGTCATACCAGTCATTAAATACCTCAGGTTTTGTCCCTGAATGTTGCTTTAGAGTTTTTTTAACTCTAAGTATGCTGAAAGACAGATGCCAACCCACGAATAAGTAAACCAGGATCTATCCTTTACAAACCTTTTCTTCATGGACGAACATTTTTGCAAACGGACAAATTAAAATCATTCCTGACAACCAATCGTTAATTTTTAAACTGTCTGTTCACAAAAAGCTATAAATCAAGATAAAATATGACTATGAATTTTCAGTTCATATTATCTTTATTAACAAGATACAATAAGGACCTTTTTTAAACTTGATGATAACAAACAAACAATGTAGAATTTAAATTAGATTAGCTGTTTACAGCTTCTTAACCTACCTACAAGTTGCTACCAATCAGATAAGTGTGTAGCAACTTGTAGGGAGGTTAAGAAGCTGTAAACAGCTAATTTAATTTAAATAGGTGCGGCCTGCAATCAGAGCCATGCCCTATTTTGATGCAAATAAGGTGCAAACGTAAAATATAATATGCAACAAAAAATAGAGTTTCTTTTTCTGAACAATAGCATAAGCAAAATACTAAATCTACATACGATTTATTTTCTACATCATGGCTGCAAAGGTGACAACTCATTGGAATTTGAATTTGCATCAATTCAACAAAGTTATCTTTCCTGAACAGCAACATAAGCAAAATGGACGCAGGTGACAATAGCCTGAGATGAAAAACATTGACCAGTTGTTGAATACCTTGTAAAAAACATTAAGACAAATGCATGTGTATTATGGTGTGTGATATTCATTTTCGTCAAAAGAAAAATAATGTGAGCTGGAAAATAGCCTAACGGCAAGGCACATCAACCTCTTAAACCTCACTGGTTTTCCAAGTGTCGCAGGCAACTTCCCAAATTTTAATTAGTGCATATTGTACCGTTCAATCTTCAATCTTGCATCTTTCATTAACGTACCTTCATTAACATTTATTCGATAAATATTGTAAATATGTTGCTGAGCTACATGAATTGGAATTTTGTGTATATTTCACTAAGCTTGGCCTCTCTACCTATCTCCAGGGCTCTGTCTTACAGGTTACCAACGAAACTACATCAATTTTCCTCTTTCAGTTGTATTTTATGAAACAAATTTCCCCCAAAATGCTTTTTTCCATTTATAAACATTTGCCTAGAGTTCTGTCTGTTTCGCTTTAAAATTGCAACGAGATTTTCTCCGTTCCTCAAGATTGGTGTAATAAGAAAAAAATGGTTCAACGCTTCAAATGTATGGCAAACAGGTAAAAACCCAGAAGGTAACTAGCATTTTTTTCAAAAACTTCGATATCTTATAGTTGAACTTAAGTTTTGGCAAGTGATATCACAATTGATATCGGCAACTGATGATACAAAAGGTCATGCGATTGACAAGTCATTCAAAATATCACAGGCACCGTGGAGCAGAGGGGGACTGGGTGGCTTTAGCCCCCCCCCCTCACTTTTTGCAAAAAATACCAAATATTAAGTATCAAACTACCAGAAAAGCCTCTTTTTATACGATTTCAGCCCCCCCTCCCACTTTTTTTAGACCCCTCACTTTTTTCAACGCTCCGCGGTGCCTGTATCAGCATATTTTAACTTCTTCAACTTGATTAAAAAACAATAAACTAACCGTTAAATTTCAAAACTTTCTGTTTCTTATCTTTTCTTCGTTTTTTTTCCTTTTTTTCGCTTCCATTGTCTTTGTTCGTGGGAAATACACTTGAAGACAAGTCTTGTTTAGCAGAATTCGATGGAAAGTTTTGCTAAACTTTACGTAACTGAAATAGAATATATAATTCATAAGCAGTTTTGATTTAACATAACCTTCGAAAAGTAGACCTTTTTATCTCCACGCAATTATAGGAAAGATTATGTATCTTATTTTCTGCGTTAAGAAAAAATGGTCTTCTGGGGTGTAATGAAAAATAACCAGGAGTTTATAGCTCCCTTCAGTAAGCTTGGTACCAGAGGCAGACTGGCCGATCGGGCTAACAGGCGATCGCCTGGTGACCCCTCCCAGAATTTTTACAATTTTTCTTAAGTTTGCTATTAAATGGCAACTCGTATTGTTTGGTAGGGGCCCTCTTCTCTTGCCATTATGCCGAGTGTCTCTTGAGATAAGCGGATACAGAATGAATAAAAATATCACTTTGAGGAATTTAAGTACTGAATCGTCAGATCCTTCATCGTTTGTGCTTCGATCAAACAAGAATCATGTAACGCATAGAAAGCTGTGACAAAATTTTTGCTCCAGCACATACAAAGGCGAGATACAACTAGAATACTTAGATGCATTACAAGTTCTATACTCAAATAAATGTTGATATAGATTGACATCTAAATATAGTATGGAATGATTACTACTCCTGAAGATTTCTTACTGAGAATATTTAGTTACTGTCTTCTTTAGGCAAGAGAGGACATTTTAACTGTTTCATTTAGAAATTTGATTAAAGTTATGTGTGTCGGAAATGTTGGGCTTGTCGCTAGAAGATGAGACAATTATCTTGGCTTGTTGGTTATTGTGAGCAAATTACCATTAGGGGCGTCATTTGATAGAATTATTAGGAAAATATGAGGAGATTGGCTCTACTACTCAAACACATTTTGCCGGTCAAAAGCATTAATCTTTCGTCATAAGTAATGGTGTAAGGAACCTTACTGGTGGTAACTTATGAGAACTACTAGCAATATTCCAATCGCCTTTCAAACCAGTCTTTAAAGTGTTGCCAGAAAATTTTTTGGTGATACACGTAAACTTCATTTGTTTTTGGTGCTTTTTGCTACTAATTTGCCTGGGCCCTAAATTTGGTACCAGTCCGCCACCGCTTGGTATAGTGGTATAGTATAGTATGTTATGAAAAAAAAAATTTTAGATGAGCGGGAGTCATTCAGTCAAGTCGCGATCTCGTTTTGGGTTCGTATCTCGATCTGTCTCGATTTCGAATTACTCTCGATTTTACCTCTAGGAGATTCATTTGGGTTAGTGAGATGATGTTTAGCTTACAATAAACTGAGTATTGGGATGTATAACTTGCACGAAGGATGACGATGCATTATGGAGATGACTTTGGCTACATATTCTGAAAATATACGTGTTTGCGTCGTAGGATTTATAGTATGTTTACCAGTACAAATTTGAAAGGACTTTGGTCAACACAACCCGGATTCACATTACCAAAAAGGCCCCTTTTTGGCTCAATTTCTTGTCTCAGACTGCCTGTATTGGATATCGTAAGTGATGGAAGGAGAATTGATGTTAAGGCCGCAACTTTCAAAGACTGAACTTTTGAAACTGGAGTCACAGCAAGTAAGAAGTTCTTGATGACGTATATCTTCCTGGATGCATAACCTCCTCTTCCAGTAACATAGGCACTGATTTGATCTCAACCAAGTGTTATACAAATTAATCATAGCAAAATAATATTCCAATCATAATAAGAAAGTCTTATGGCACCCTTCAGTTATTTTTTGGAATGAATTGTAGTAGTGGATTTTTAAAATTAAACATAAACTGAAACTACAAATTCGAATAGTTGTTATTATAATATTTTGCTGGACAAACAGATATGGTCACGTACTGCTTACATGTCAGCTATAAATTCTTGATAGAAGTTCAGCACCATAAACCTTGCAACTTTAAGAGACCTATGATTGTTCATTCATTGTAAATTGTTCACTATTTCAGTTGATCAATTATATTTCATTTCTAAAATTCCCTTAAATTCATTCAAATTCATTAAATTCAAGATAAAATTAATACACATTAAGTATATACAATAGAAAATTCATAGTTAAATTTAGCTTGACATGATACAATCAACAATACTAATAAAACCTGATGCAGAAGTTGGTTTTTCAGGTGAGGGTACAAAGCCATGAAAAGCAAGCAAATTTGCAGAAAAAAGTACTAGAACCCATCTTTTAACTGATAATTTAGCAAAAGCTAGGGAACTCCTGCTCACCCTTACAATTTCAGCCCCTCCAAAAAACAATTATGTATTCCTTCATTTCAAGATTTAGTTTTCAATTATTACCTGTTATTTTCTTACCTGCCTTCTTATATTTATGCACAGAACTTTTATGCTCTTTCACATCTACCAATCTCTTGGCATGCATTTCTGTTAAAACTTAACATCCCATCAAATCATAAAACTTAATGATGGAGCATTTAAAATGAAGTGTGGTATATTATTTGTTACTATCAATGCCTATAGATCTCTTAATGATATTGTTATAATGGCCACATGCTGTGTTCTGCAAACATGAAGCTAGAAACAGGCAGATTCTATTAAAAAATAACTTTTCATTGTTTCTTAAGACTATGGTAAGATCAGATGCTAGAACCTATATAATGAAAATAAGTTAATATAATTTAGAAAGATTTATATTTATAACGAATTTATTTCGAATTTTCTATGTAGTTTTGCATGAATCTATTTAATTTCAGTTGAAGTTCTAGGTTTGTCAACCTGTGTTTAGTGTTTAACTTTTTTTGTTTCTTTTAACAGAGACATTTGCGTCATTTGTCTTGTGTCTTTGGACGGAATATAGACCCAAGTCTGCTGCCGGTTCTGAAGGCTGGTAGTAAACCTGGGCTTCTGCATCTCTACTTCACACTTCATGATGCAGATGACAAGACAGGTATGGGCCTTGCCAGATATATCTAAATTGCAAATTGTGATTAGTGATTTAATTCCTTTGAATGGCAATAGTGTGTGAAGTACTCCATATCCACAGTTTCAAGGGTTGTGATTAACTGTACTTTTGTGCGAAATCATTTCTTCTTTTGGTAGTGAAAGAAGCACAATGTTCTGCAGCAAAAGCTCTATAACTAGCGTCCACATGCCATGATGCATCTAGGGTCATTCACAACATGGAAAATTAAGCGTATATTAAGAGCTCTATCAAAATAAAAATGGAAAGTAGGTATAAGCAAGTTAGGAAGTCAGCAATTTAAAAAGATTGAAGCCCCCACAGGAAGACAGACAGAGATATGTAACTAATATCCAAAGAGAGTGACAAATATAATCCATCTAATGTCCAAAATAATTTATTCCATTTGTCCCAAAGGCATTTTATTGTTGGCTAAATGCAAATGGCTTCATTTTTGTTGTCTTTTTTATTTTTTTGCCCCAAAGCTTTATGCTTCCTGAGATTTTTTCATTCGATCTATGAATATTCATTAACCTTTTTACAAGCAAAATGCATTCTTGCCACTAGATAGGTGATCTTATTACAAAAGAGTGACTTTTCATATCCAGATACCTCCAAAATCAAGCCATTAATGCTGCTTGTTTTGTCTCTAATCAAATGGTAGTATCTTGCCCATGATGTTTTGAAAATGCTGTTTCTAAGGGAAATTGATTGATGAATGTCATAAAGTTGATGAAAAACCTTCCAGTGTAAACAAAATTTCACCACATTCCAATATTTTTATTGTAAAAAAAGGGTTGTTTCAGTTATTTCTGTTTATGATTTCTTTGCAAATGTTTTCAAGATATATTTTATGTCTTTTCAGTTCTTTACCAAAGTGAAGTGATTAAGAATTCTTTGGTAAGTACTTTTATAATATAATATCTAGGCCTTACTGGGAAAGTGTTTCCATGTGCATGATTAATCACAACCCACTGACATTTCAGGCATGTGATGCCATTTAGTTGAAAAAGTTGGGAAATATACTAATACCAATAAAAATCATTCTATAATACATCAGATTTTTAGCTAATGAAAATATAAATATCCTATTTTTGGCAGTTTAAAGCCCTTCACATCTCACATTTCTATTTCATATTTCAAGGCTGCTCCTCAGATTCTAAAGATGTTGCAATTAAGATTTTAAATTAAACAGTACCCAGGAACAGTACAAAAGAACAAAGAGCAATCTATTTTCACGTGAAATGCTGTTTTTATTGAAAGAACTAGATCTATATGCAAAAGAAAATAAGTTCATATTTCACTCTTCCCCTCTGTATATTCCCTTTGTATGGGATTTAATTCAAATAGGTCAATGCAAGCCTAGACTTTGCAGATCTCAACCACTCTTTGAGATCCCTCACAAATATTTTGATCTGTCATTGTTGAAATGCTTGGCAAGCTTAAACGGATACCCTTTCAAGTCAACCAAACCTGTTTGTCTCATTAAAAGGTTGTGTTTCTGTAATAAAAGTGTTATATTTTTGGCCAGGTATCCCTCGAAGATCCCTTGTCCTTTGATCAAATTTTAATTCGATCAAATTATCAAATGGCTTAAAAATGTTGTGCTATATACACATAATTCCTGTTTATTTCAGTCTTTTTGCTTTCATTTATCAATAATATGACCTTTTTCTTCAATTGTGTATATAAAATCCTTCAGAAATTGTTTAGAAAAACTTGGCTTAATAGAGAACTACTTTAGATAAATTTCCCTTTGTCCTAAGGTGTTTCTTGTTTTCTTGAACTTCTGGTGATGTGTAAGCCTGAAAACATTAGCACCAAAAGCTTTTATGGAAAAGAAGAACTGTTTTTCATACTAGTTTGAAATTAATTTCAAAGATTATAATTTCCATGTTTCAAGTAAATTTATGAACAATTTTCTTTACTGGTCCAAATTATGAAAACTGATTTATCATTTCTTAGGTATATTTGTTAGGTAAACTTTTATTACCTTTTGGGGACAATTATGACAATTTATGATGATTTGATGCTTGTCATGGCATTTTTGAAGAATGGTCTGACTTAGTTACCACTGATAAGTCAGAAACAGAGACAAGATTGGTTTAAAGTTTTACTAAAATATAGTGAACTTTAGTGCCAACATCCCTTACAAATTTAACCCATGAAACTGACCATTAGTATAAATTGACCCATGTCCACCAAGTAAGATAAGTGATATCCTGTCATTAAAGTCAGAAATATGTATTGTTATTGCTACAGCAATGCATGACATTTTACAAAAATGACTTCCTTTTCAATCAATTTCCTCCTTACATATAATTTTACTTATGATTTTGTTTTAAAGTTTGTCAAACCTGATATTGTTATTATATACACCTGCACTGCTACTAGCTTTGAAGATGCTTGTGTTGTAACTGCATTGCAAACAGGACCTTCATTTATCCTTAACTGTTTCACTCATGCTTCTGTTTTTCCTCTAGAACCCTAGCTGGAATGAATTTGATCCTTCAGTTTTTCCAGAAAAGGCTGGTACAGCCTCTTCAAGTATCCTCTCAGCATTTTTAATAAGTTTATAAATGATTAATTAAAAGATGTTGAATTTGCTAGTGTATTAGTGGAATGACTCTTCTTTGCTAATTAATGCAAAGAAAAACATTTAAGTAGTTATAAGAAGGCATTTTATTTTGAACTTAACAATGCACTTCAGTTTTTATTCTTCGGATCTGGGCTTCCAGAGTAGATAGCTATCAGACAATTATCCGACTTCATGTTGATCTTGGAGGACTAATGTCAGTAGGAGATCAAGTATGTCATTTTCTTATTCATATTATGCTTTCTATGTCTTTCTTATAATCTTATTCATCTTATTATTTATTTTTATTTGTCATAAAAACTTTTCTTGTAGAATTCTATAATGCAGAGTCAACAACTTACTACTGGGTGTTATAAGCAAGACTCGAAATCCCTTAAGGCAACTTTCCCCTTAAAAAGTGTTGTATTTATAAATGAAGATTTCAGTTAAATTAGGTACCATATATGCTAGTACCTTGTATTGAAGGTTAATTTATAAAAGGAAATGCTGTGCCTTCTCCCATGAACCATTTAAAGGTTTGTTGAACTTTCTGTGATGGATATCTATTTCCAGTATTTATTGCTCAATATAAATGGTGCCCCATTTTACCTACTTTATTTTGATTTGCACATGTGTTTGCAGACTTGGTGATTGCCAAGCCTTTCCATGATTAAGATGGCTCTTGGCTCTTTTTTAGTTAAAACAAGGGGGAAGTGCAAAAGAACCAAATACAGTTATATTCAAAATGTTTGGTCAGTATTTCACATATACAGCTGGATGTTTTAAGGTTAGTAGCATTATTGTATCTTGCTCTTCAGTATCAATTTTGGTTTGAGTCAGCTGTCATATTTTCTTTGCCATGTTTTTATAGAATTTGAGCTGGAATTACATAGAGTAACATTGTTCTTTTTACTGGATCTTACTCTGTGAAAATTATTCAGATATGAGTTATATTGGTAATGAGTCAGAACTGTTAACTTGCATCTTGGGGTAGAATGTGGTTGGTCCCTTTGAAGTTTAAAAGAAAAAGGCCTCTAACTTCAGACCTGTCAACCTTAAATTTTCAAAACCTGGAGATTTTAGATTTTTCTTGTAAAAAAACAGGGAGATTTGGTCAAAAAAGGGGAGATCACAGTAATTTGTTAAGGGAATAAATATACCTGATAAAATGTTGTGTTCGGCAAACAGTTTATGACAAAAGTGATCAAGAGAAGTATCTTCATAATAACTTTTAGTGCTTTTGTTAATCAGTAAGCTCTAGCAAAAAATTGTTGTCATGTGGAAGTCAATGTGACCATTATATCTTAATTATACCTCTGTAAAAAGAAAACATACACAATGGACCTGTCTTTGAAGCATAAGATGCGCAATTTATTCAAAATATTCGGTGAAGAATCTTCCTAGACATTCTGCTAGACATCTTTGAAGCCGGGAGAAAAATTTTAAAAACGGGGAGACAGGGAGAAAGCAGTCAAAACTGGGAGTCTCCCGGCAGAACCGGGAGGGTTGACAGGTCTGTAACTTGGTTGAAAATCTTTGCTCATCCATGACACAGTGTTAGTCAATATTTTTGTTGGCTCTTAAATCTTTTCTGCTGTGACTTGAAACTCCGTTATTGTATTGTTGTCAACTGCTCTTCTAGTCACATCCCTTTCTTATTTTCAGGCCTTTTTTCCAAGTTCAAACTTTTAAGTAATTTGCTTTATAATATGATGCAGTCTACTTTAAACTTTGAGGCAATTTGTCATTGGATTGTAAATCTCTATAACTAGCAAATTTGTTGTAAACATTTCATTAACAGACTTAATTACACTCTTTTGATATTATGCAGGCCTTGACTATTGACCCTGATAAAGACACCTCAAAACTGATGTTTCTCAAAGTTGATCAGGATGCTGTAAGTCTCAATTTATCGTTTTTTTTATTGGGGAATAGCACCATATCAATTTTATTCATATTTTGTGTCCTGTTTGATTCAAAAGAAAAAGGCTCCGTGTGATTCCAAGTAGGTGACTTCCTTATTCATTAATCTGAATCCCGTGTCAATGTTATGCGAAAAATACAAAGTCGGCTCGTTTATCTTTTAGTGTTTGTAGTACTGAAGTAGCGAATAGCTAAAATGACATGATACCAATTTTCTTATCGTGTGGGACTCTTTCCCTTGTTAATACAGTGTGATAGAGTACTATCAATGTGCATCTTGAAACCAGATTGAAATTTGGAGCGAAAAACACTTTGTAAATGAGTGAACTGGTATAAAACCCGAGTAACAAAATTTGCTTCAGAAGAGTCCTTAGTCCCATAGGTCACAAAATTTCTGAAATGATATCAAGTGCTAATAACCAAGTGCTAATAACCATCCAATTCCTATTATCTTCATGGCTATGACTTCAATTTTCAGTAAATTTTCAAGTAAGCCAAACTTGTTTTGTGAGGCATTTTCATTTGAGAAACGTTTGGATCAAAAAAACGTAATATTCTTGAATCTTGAGCTTTAGAATAGATAGCTTCAGAACTTAATGGTTTTCTCATACTCATGTTGAGCAAACTTTGCAATGCATTTATTTTCTTTTGAAGGTTCTTTGGGCGTACAAGAAATCATCGCTCTTAAGGTACACAATGTTTCATTTTTTCTTTGCCAGTTTTGATCACTTCTCACTAAGCAAGGTCTTAAATGGACTCTTCTTTTGAATGCATACACGTTTTTTAAATTGATTTCTTAAACTGATATAGATTTTTTTCATGGAAACAACAGTGCTTTTAACAACCATCTCTGGTTAAAGTCTTCGAATACTAGCGTCAGTTTTCCAGAGCAATTTCAGCATGGTTCTACTCTTCTGAAAAACCGTGTCGGTTTTCTATAAAAATAAGTAGGAGGCGCTTTCTCGTGTGTTTTGTATGATATTTCTTTAAACTACCAATATTTTTTGGAAAAAACCAAAAAATGTAAAAAAAGGGCCAGTCGCTTTTGGTTCCAAGTAATTTTGGCAGGCATTGTATATATACAGAATTAAAGAGTTTCCCTGAGAAAACCAATAAATTAATAAAACAGAAAGCCTCCTGTAAATCAATAAGGTAGTGCTCGCTTCGATTCTCTTTAGGTTTATACGTAAAACTAGGCTATCAGTTGCCCGATGATCGCATTAAGCTTGAAGCTCAGAGTAGCAGCTGAAAACCATCCTGTTCTACACACCAAATAGCATGTACGGCTCTGCTTATACGGCATCGAGTCCTTTATGACAGACTGGTAAACAGTGTTTATTTTCATAATACGTAAAAGAACTACACGATTTTGGCCTTATTCAGTTGTTTTGAATTTAATGTCACACCAATCAGTGAAACTAACCACTTTAGAGATGTTTACCCTTTAGAATTACCATCGCCTCTTCTTTATTATACACTTTATATGCCGTCTTTTTCCCAGGGTGCACTGCATGCTTAAAGCTATGCATGAAACAAAACAGCAAGTGAAGAAAGCACGCTGTTTTATTGAAGGAAACCTGAAGAGACAGAAAGAGCGCTGGTGCAAAGTAAGTGTTTGTAATACTTTGTATTTATTATATATATCTTTATATTTATGTTAGTTTGAATGCTCAAATAGGATCATTCTTGATTGCCATATAAAGGACGACCCCAATTATTTGATATTTGAAACCTATTTTTATTTAGGAACGAACAAGTCTTCTTGCAAGCATTGGAGTTAGGCTGTAAAACTTCCGTGTTCACTTCATCCTTGCAACTATTGCTAATTAACACTGTCCGTGTTGGCAAAATAACAACTCCGAAATCGTTTATATCCATCTCAATTCAACTAGTCTTATGACAAAGTTCCCCTAAGACCCGTTTTCCCTTCTGCCCTTTTTTAGCTTTCAGAGAGAGAGTCTCTCCATGGCCAGATCAATCGGCTTACCGAGGAGTTAGTGAACATGAAAGGGAGCCTAGAAAGAGGTGAGAGGCCAAGAGTCGATCAGCCTTGCTGACTCTACTGTTATTTTCCTGTTTGATGAAGGGCTTCTGTTTTCAAGACCCGAGCATCTAAAGAAAGCTAAAGAAAGTGTGCAAAAATAGACCGAACTAGACTCCACATATTGCTTTGTCGAGGGGCGGCTGTAATACCACTGATCTAAAGAAACGGACTTTGTTTTTCTTAGGTCTGCCTCATATTAGCTCCAGTCCCACCGAGGGGCCCTTAAGAAAAGAGATGTACGAGGTCATAAACTTTCGTTATGTTAAATATGACTATTGTTAACATGGTAATCACAAATCATATTTGTACTGGAAAAGTTTATAGAATATAAATTGTGAAATGTAATATTTCAGTTTAAAGTAATGTAAATTAAAAGTTGATAATTTTTGCATTTTAAATCAATATCAAACACAGAGGTAGGAAGAGCCCTAGCATTAGGCTGCCTCTGGGCCTGGCGTGGCTTTCTGCGGCCCTGATTAATCCCATATCAATACTCAAGTATGGACACATTTTTGTGGATCATGATGGTGTCTTGTATAATTGTATCAACGCAGCAAATTGCGATAGAATTGTCATCTTTCTTTGTGTTTCAGAGTCAAACTCGGCAAAACAAAGAAAACGACGCCTCACAAAGAAAGGTAACTTTCGATCTGTCTACATTAATTTTCAACCAGTATTAATGATAAATGCCGTAACAAGCTCTCCCCCCCCCTCTCGAAAAAAATGCGCAGGCGATATCTAAATAAATGACTCGAGTAAGGGAAGAAAAGAAAAATTGGTTGAGAAATCTAAATCTCAATGAAGTCTTGCAACCAAAAGAATAATCTTTAAATATTTACAAGTACCTTATGTCCAAGTTTGCAAGTGCCCAGGCATATACCTTATGTTTATCAAATTTATTTTCATTTTCAAAAGCTAAGTATATGATTTGCAGACAAAGTTTGTGCATATACATTGTATGTCTTATCATTTTTCAGAAAAAGAACTGAATTCTCGTCAGTTTGACTTGGAGCAGTACGTCTCGAGCATGAAGATTAGCCACTCTTCGCATATCGTTAATCGGTGAGCCACTTCTATTTAGTTACGTATCCTGGCCAACTGTATAAGAAAAAGTGTTTGGAATTTTGAAAGAAAAAGCGGGGTTTTCCTTGCTCTTTAACTGTTGTCTATATTATAGAACAATAAATTGAAGCTAGTTGTATTGTTACTTTAACCTCTAAAAATGTTCACGTAAAGTTAATGCTTAGGCCTTCATTTTGAAACAGCCGTCCTAAATTTTAAATGGTTGTGTAAATCCTACTAATTTGTTTACCTTCCCCAAATTTTTCTCTCCTATTGCAGGTGATAGATGTTTAATATTCTGTTAAATCTATATTTTCCCTATAAAAAATATATTTCCTCAAAATGTAATATATTTCTGAATGGTTTTAACTTAGCCAGTCTGCTTTTTGGTGTCAGATTCACATTCACCGCTTTATATGTATAGCCTGGAAATGAAGATATATTTGTTCTGCTTTACTTAAACTTTGTTTCACCGCTGTTTAAAGTTTGTTCGTGAGAGGTGTCATCTTTTTCACATAAATCCATAAACGTATTTCATTTCATTTTATGATTTGTTATGATAATGTGCGCATAACAGTTTATGATGCTAGTCATTTTTCGTACAGCGCCAATTCCAATGTTTTTTATATGCAAACAGAATGATTGCAAAAAAATTCTCTCCGAAAATTTTTTCTTTTTTTAACAATTTTTTTGGCAGTGATACCCTGGTTAAAGTAAATGCGCAACTGAACTACCGACGAAAGCAGCTGGCAGCCGAGCTCAGCTACATCTTCCCAATCTTCGAGGTACGAAACTGACAGACTCTTGTGCCTAATGTGTGATTATTTAGGGCCGTCCAAATATATTTCGGAGAATGCTAATTACATCTAAGTTTAGTGCTCATTGAGAGAAGCAATCTGGGTGAAAAGCTAGGAGAAATGTCTGAAAAGAGGTTGAAGAGAAGAGACTTTTCCTCAGCAACAGTCAATATGAATTTTCAAAATGAAAAGTTGACTGGGTAGGGGCTGAGAGCTATAAGTATTAAGATAGTCAAGTCTTCTCAAAAGAGTCCCATTCAGTATTGAATTCAAAACAGATCTTTTCAGGTTTCCTATAAATTGAAGTGGAATAGTCTCTCGCAGTTAGTATTTTGTTTAAATTTCATTTTTTTTGCCGTTAAATTTTTTAAAAGACTCTTGTTGTTAGACTTATTAAATGGTAGTTTGCTACTATCACTTCTGGGTATTATTGTTTTTTTATCTTAGTGTTTGCTGAAAGCTAGCTAGATACGCCTATATATTTTCAAACTTACTTCGATTACGGTTACATCGAAGTCAGAACCGGTCAGTTTTTTTATCACATTTAAGGTCACGATTAAGTTCGCAAAATTGATTTGATCAATTTAGTTAATAAATGGAAAATATAAAGGAAATATGAAGGTTAATTTCAGTGTTCCCAGAAAGAACCAGAAATACCAAAAAAGGGACTGACCTAGCGTTTGCTTGAAGGTATTCAAATAAAATTGAAAATATAAATAGAATCTCTCTCACTTTTTTAAAAAAAAGATGTTATTTGTTGGATTGATTTGATCTCATCCCAGATCCCAGCAAAAGATTATTTGAAGAAAGAATATGCGATCACTGGGGTGCGTCTTCCGGTTTCTGATGCATTGACAGGTAAGAAGGCTTGCAATTCTTAAGCTACCCAAGAAGTTGATTTTCTCAAGAACTAAACTTGAGAAATACTCTTCGATATTTCGATTGAGCCATTTTTTAAGCTTGAAGTGATTGACCTGGGTTGAAAGTTGACATCTCAATGCGTTTCCAGCTTGCCAAAAAAGATATGATAATTATCCAATCAAAATGCGAGAACCAAAGCTCGTTTAAGAGTCTCTTCCATCAGTTATCACACAGCTCATGCGGTCATGCCTGAATTGCAGTAAACTGAAGGTTATTCGTAAAACCGACCTTTTAACTCAAGCCGTTCATTTTGAACGAGAAAATCCTAAGTATTTCAAAGGGAACTACTGTCCCTGTTTAAAGCACGTTATGTTTGAGTAGTTTGTCTATTGCCTTGCAAAGATGTCCTGGCACATGCAATGAAAACATGGTTCTGATTACCATTGGTTTGAGTTAGGTTACTAAGTCTTTTTTCTTTACCAATGAAAAAAATTCTGAAGAATAACGGTTCTTCCTCGAAATTTGCTACATTTGTGTGTTGAAAAGTTTTGTTTCTTAGCCTATAGTCGTTTATCTTATCTTCTATTTTACACATGTCGTTAATGATCCAGTGGTATTAGTGTGGTGAAATCCAATGTATATATATATATATATCTATCTTAAATATCAATAAGGTAGCCTTAACTGTATTAATCAGCTGATATTTGTTTGCTATTGCTCTAAAATGATATTCCAATGAATCTGGCTGTATAATGATATTCCCATGATGCAATTCGCTATCCAGGTGAGGCTGATGAAATGTTGTCGGTAGCTCTTGGCAACACTTGTCATTTGGTTACAATGATGGCTAAATTCATGGAACTGCCTTTGAGGTACCCAATGCGACCCATGGGTTCTCGATCGGCCATACTGGACCTGGTCAAGGACAAGCTCGTAGACAGGGAACGGGAGTATGTTTAGCGTTTGCAACACACTGCTACTCTTTCTGCTTTTCATTAGCAACAAAATCACTATTTACCATTTTTGATTTCGAAATATGATTTCCTGTAATATCACTCCTAGATGTTGCAACCTTGATGCTTATTTGTTGAATTTTTCCGGTTTCAATATTTGAATTCAATCTACTTTTCAAGTTATCGACAATATTTAAACATGTTAATGCTTTTAGTTTAAGAGATATCTTTTGTTGCCTCAGGTTTCCGCTGTATTTGAAGGGCAAAGAAAAATACCAATTTCACTATGGTGTTTACCTGCTCAACAAAGACATCGCACAGGTATTACTAAACCAGATTTGTGCAAAATTTCTTTATGTTTGGTTTTTTGTGGACGAGTACAGTGGGATGGTGGAAGCAGCAGTTGCAGAAATTCTTGAAGACTGGCGCTTCACGAAGTTGATTAATAGTCTATATTCTTTAGTTAAAGAGATATGGCTTGATCAACGAAAACCTTATGCAGTCAAATTTTCGCTGATTGATGATCTTACTATAAGGCAGCTTGTTATCTTATTTTCTATATTTTCAAATCTGAAACTTTTTCTTCATAAATATCCCCCATTTCAAGCAAAGAAATTTTGTAGTTGTTGATTATCGTGTAAGTCGGCACTGATACGATCGCGAAGATTGCCAGTATCCCTGAAGAAAACTCAGAAATAGCATGCCATTTGGACGTGCGTGTGCTCCTCTCAAACATTCGGATCCATCCTATACGTTCATTAAATTCTGAAAGTTGACCAAACGTGTTATGAGCTGTCAAATTTCACACTGCTTTCCTGAAAAGACACCGTTAATTTGGGAATCGCAAAGACAGGAACTATATTACGGTGCATCGAAACGAATAACTCATCTGAAGCATGAGGAAGTCAATAAGTATTACAGGCGACCGCAGGTGCAGGAATACAGAAAGACTACTTTATTTGCTTGCAAGATCGCGACCAACGCAATAAGCACTAGTTGGCTGAACTGAGTTTTTATAGTAAACACAAAGATTTAAAAACGTTTTGTGGGTACCTCCAATAGGTCCAGTTATGTGTTATAGTCAGAACAAGGCTCTTTCGCCCCACGTCGCTGTTTTGAAACCTATGAGCTAATTTTAAACTATTAAGTTTTCCCCTTTAACAGCTATATTTCCCTCAACCAGCACTTTATATTTATTATTTGCCTGCGTTTATTAACATCATTCATTTTCAGCTGCGTTATCACTGTGGACTGGGCACTTCAGACCTGCGTCAAACACTCTATAATCTGAGACATCTTTTTGAAAACAAATTTGGAGTTCGAATGTAAGTGTGTTTGCATGTTTCTGTTCGATTTATGATATTTATGGCCTTAGACATTTCCAGGCACTCAGCAACGATAATCCTCCAATCTACTTTGCTTTTCATTGAAAAAGGGTTATACTTTCACTACCCTATACCAAGGGTTGTATCAATCTTCCCAAACAGCGTACGAGATTTTTTAGAACAATAGGATTTTTAGGAATTTGGCAGATTTTTCTCGAAAACAAATTATTTTCCTGTTATGTAGTGAATCCTGTATATGGAAAAAATGTTTTGTATTTGCAGAGTCGTAAAGCCAGACACAGAGACACTACAACAACGAATCTCATTGATACCGCATGGGCGGACGCTATCTGAAACTGATGAGCCGGACTCCGGAGTTGCTGTTAACTCGCCGGTCGCAAAAAGAGACGACAGTCGATCTTCTGAAAGACCGCGGAGCTTTCACAGCGTAGAAATGAATGATTATGAGGCTTTGCATAAGTCAAAAAGTCAAGGGAGCCTGCAAAATCAAGGAGGAAATTCTGGCCTCCCTGCCCCTTCCAACCGAACCCAAATGCATAGATTAATAAGTTTCAAATCGAAAAAAGGACCAAGTCGAGCAAGAAGCCTGCCCGATAGAGAATCGCCTACGTCTTCAAATTTGCTCCTCCAAGTTCCATTCGAGGAAATGGTGCAGGGTAAGGTTGAAAATGTCCGAAGAAATACTTTGCAAGATATACCAAGTGGTAATTACGAAAATGGATTTCAAAAGCTACCTGAAAAAGGTCTATCCAGCGATGTTATAAACAGTCAATATGGAGATTTTGTAATGGATTCTGGGAAGATTAAAACTGGAAGGGTTGCTCCCAAGTTTGAACAGGATGATTGCACAGATAAATTTTGTCTAGAGTGCCTCCGCAACGGTGATAAGTGTATTGACTGCACGCATAGAAACCACGATCCAGTAGGAGTTGAAGACGTACAATTTGACGAAAGTAAGTTACCGGACACAGCTGGTTTGTACTCCCGGCAAGACAGTGATATTTTACTAATTCCTGGTCCATTCGACGACCACGACAAAATAGAGTCTATAGAAGACACAAAATGTGCAAACGCGATTTAACGTTCCTGTCGCGGTATTCCCTAACAGTGTCACCTCCAACACCATAGCAATTTATCAACAAGCTTCTATCTCCATACTTCATGTGGGAATATTGGTCAACCAGATTTCACTAGCAGCTTTCGAGCTCAAAGATTAATACACTTTTGGCTACTTAGCCTGCCTTTAAAAGTGTTTATATAAACATGGGCGTCTGTTACTTTTAGACAAATCATAAGGTTGGAAGACATCGGTTATACATGGTCCATCGGAATTTTCTTATTGAATTTAATCAATTTGCAATTCATAGATTATCATACTTATTCATATGTATGTTTGTGACAGTTAATGCTTTGTCGCCAATCCTTTTACATGTAGACGAGTGACATGCCTCTCGGACACACAGTCCTTGGCTTTGTAGATGCCAGCCGAGCCTGCTAAGATTTTTAATTAGCAAGGGTTAGTTGTAAGGTAGATACTATATGATAATTTTCTATTTTATTCCATTTTGAAGAAATATTCCAGTTATGGTCTATGTCCAAAAAAGGTAACTCCCTTGAGTTTTGACTTAGAGTCCCTCAGTTCAATTTAAATAGCCTTAATTGATTCTCCAGTCTAATTTTGTAATAGTTCTTATTCCCTTAAAGGGTTAAAAATACTAGACCCAAGGTATGGATGACACAGCAATTTTACATGGAATTATCTATGAAGGTGCTTACTTTGAAACTAGAATTTAACTCGTAAATGATCAGGGGTATATGCAATAGGAACTGTTTTTTAGGAAGGAAGATTTAATATTTAGAGGTAGGAGACTGGGGCCATTTCAGGACTATGATGTTCACACTTAAAATGTCTCAGCTGCAGTATTTTCAAAATTCTGTTAACTTTATTTTTTGACCTTTTAATGCACCAAAATTTTCTGGTGATTTAAAGATCATTGATTTTCATTACTTGGTGTTGGAATGATTATGAGCGAAATTTTGTAAATAAAACAACGATTTTTATTCCATTAAATGAACAGAATTAATTCTTAAAGACTGTTAGTGATTTTTGTGTGTAATCAGTGTAAATGGGAAGTGGCTCTGGGATCCAATAAATATTGAATAGGCATCTCAAAAATAAAGTTAAAGTTACATTTGCAAGATGATGAGTAGCCACCAAAATACCATTAAGAATTAATAAAAAACATATACACAATATGGTTAAGAACCAACTATAAGGCAACACACACTCTGATAATACTCCTTCCAAATAAGTAACAATGTTGATGGAGATTCAGTGAGATAAAAAGTTCAGTTCAAGTGAATTTGTTGAGCTTTTGGCAATAACAGGAGAAACTTGGTGAACTACCAAATTATGTGTATCAAAGATATATGTTTTCACATTTTGTTGTTTTCAAACTTATATCTAGAAGCACATCAACTAGCTCCCAGTTATTTCAAATGCATCTTTGATGTTTCAAAATTATATAACTTAAAGTTGGTTTGTAATTTTTTTTCCAGTTATCAATAACATATAACAAATGTTGAAATTATCAAGTTTAATAAACAATGAGAAAAATTACATAGCTAATGGCAGGGCTGCAAGTTAGACTCAAATAATGTTATATGATTGGATCTTTCTTAATGCTTTTTAGAAACCCCACGGGGTTCACTTAGCCAAGAAACCCAGACTGTTAGTGACTCCTAATCAAAGCATGAAGAGACAGTTCTTGTAATTTATTAAATTTTATGGGTTGGAGGTTTATTTCTTTCAGCTAGGATTTCTACAAAATTAGCTGTTTGAATGCAAAGTTGTTGTTTGATTACTTCATCATAAGGAAAAGAACTTTACCATCATAAATTGACTTTGCATTTTTTGTGAGAATTTGGTTTAAAAACACAGCTTAAAAATGAAACAGCAATAGTTGCAAGCAGGAAAAAAGTTTTTGCTTAATGCCATTAAAATAAAATTACATTGAAAGATGTTTGTCATTTTTTCCTATATGCTACAGCCTCAAAATAAAGATAAACCAAATGATAGCCTATGATACACTTATATCTGTTGCTTGTATGCGAGGCTACAGTTCTTTGAATTTAAACAAAAGGGTGTTTAATAGAATGTGAAACCAAAATCACTATGATATTTTGGGCATAACTTGCACCCATTCTCTAATTCCACAGATATTGCTCATGATGCGAACATGACCTTTGACAAGAAAGATAATTATATTGAAGAAGTTATGACATATAAAAACTTAATATCAGTTTGTAAGAGTTACTCTTACAAAATAAGGGTGGGACCTAAGTCTTAAATTACAAAAACAGGATTTAACACACTTAGTATCTAAAACAGGCACAATGCTGTTTTGATCTCTATTCTTTACTACCACTTAAACTACCATTTTTGTTTTTATATAGATGTTCTTTGAGGAATTTTTCAAATTCTCTGCTTGCCATTACATATCCTGTGCCACCTTGGGCTAAAACAGCAGCTACTAAGAATGGCCTTCTCATAAAGTTTTCTGAAAAATTCTCCGTGAATTTTTCAGCTTGTGCCAAAAACCCACGTGATCGACGGGCAATAACAAGACCACCAACAGCTAGTGGAATTACAGCGGCGGATGCTGTGGCTAAAACAAACCCACGCATATAAGCACAAACAGAACATCCAAGTTCCCTTGACTCGAGCTTCTTCGTTATAAAATACTGCCAACTTTTTGCAGCAGTAAGACCACAAATTGGTGGAAGAAATATTCTTGCAGTTAGGGCCAAAGCAGGGTTTCTGTACGAGGTGGTAATGACAGCAGCAACAAGTCCTGAGTTTAGACCAACCAAAAACTTGTGATTGTCAATGTCAAAAAGTCTGTCAACATAATCTAGAATTTCAGTGAATCTATTCTCAATTTTATTGCGCTTTTCCTCACTTCCCACTTTGCCACCCTTGCCAGACATACTTATTCTCACTGCTTATTTTGTAGAAATCTTTTCTGTTCTTGTCGCTTCTCTCCTCCTGTGTCCCCTGTTCAGTGTTCTCACTTTGCTTCATGTAAATTTCCATAAACTCGCACGAAAATTTCCTCGGATTTAAATTTACGAAAACCTGCCATTTTTAAAAGATATGGTATAAACAACTTTGGCCATGGAAAAAAGTGTCAAATTGAGTCATTCATTTGCATTAAATCCGAAAACTACTCTTCCTTTTTCTTGTTAACATAATTAAATATTATAAAATAGAAGAAAACACAATGCAAAAATAAATTTCATCGATATATACCTACATGTAATTTCTGGTTTTTGCTTTCCGCAACAACTTTTTACACATTTCTATACTTTTCTCATTCCAATTTCTTTGATATCGTTTTAGAAAGTTAAATACTCTCATCGACAATCCAGCATGCTACCTTAGTGCATGGGAGGTGGCGGCGGCATACTTGCCCTGCAGAAGAAACTTTGCCCTGGCAAAGGTTGAAACAGAAATTGTACTGTAACATTTCTTTTCTGGCACACGCCGCTTTTTTTGGGCACACTACTTTAGCAACAAACTGGATTCCAGATTTCTGACGGCACAAGGCTGTGTGACAACGCCTAGTTGGAATTAAACCGTTTTTTCTTAGTTTTCTGGCAAGCGGTGCTTGTCTTTTTTGTATGCTTTTTAGAATAAGACACAAATATCGACCAAAGGTATAACATGTTTTTGTTTCATAACATAACACTTACGAATAATGCTAGTTTTTGTTTCAACGGTTACTTTGAATTTTGCTATGGAAAAGCAAGTTGAACTGAAACCAACATGATTGCTCTCTAGTCTCATACAACACAGCGAGGTCTCAAGATGGACGCTGCAATGTGGAATCAACACTGGGCTAGAGCAGCTCGATCCAGTCTTTCTTGAGATCAGTGGTCCCCAATTGCAAATCAGGATTTATTGTAGACAAGTGCACTAAGCTAATTACTTATAAAAGGGTCTTGAGAGTCTCCCATGGGGGGGGGGGGGTGTTGGTTTTCTGTACAATGGTACTCGTGTTCCCGTGTTCCATTTGAAAGAAACCAATGTTCCCGTGTTTCCGTTGAAAGTTAAAGAATATTCCCTTGTTCCTTTAAACTAGTAATAATGTTCTCATGTTCCCAGTAGACAATTTAAGTTGTTTCTGTGTTCCTGTACCATTTGTTGCCATGTTCCTTTATTCCCCAAAACCCCTGGGAGAGCCTCATAATTTTGATTAGATTTGCATCATCACTATTGTTAAAACTTCTGTCCGTTTTGACCATAGTATTTATCCATCCTGTCATGAAACTTTTTACATGAGAAATTATCAGGAGGTTAGCAAGATCTGGCCAGATAAAAAAATCACAGCTTTAAGCCACAAATGCAAACATCAAGCAGCAGATGAAGAAATGTGCTAGATGGAGATAAAAGGATAGAAAAAAGTTACCTTGGCATTCATGCAAAGAATCCTACATTATTTTCTGCAATCATTATATGGTCAGAAGTCAGTTTAAGGCTTCTAGAAAATTAATTTGCATATGAAATTTATATTTGCGTTCATCAAATTCTGAATTTTTTACTGTAATTTCTAATATTAAGCAAAGTTAAAAAGATATTATATGTTGCCAGAATTCCAGGCATGTGATAGAATTGTAACAAATAATATCAAGAAGCATAAATTAAACATTTATATGCAACATAAATGTACTTGGCACCAACATGTTGGTGGCTTATTTTGGTAAAAGTGACTTATTAAAGGATGTCACACAGAATGAAATTCTCAACTTGGGACACAATTAGTCATTATAACATCAATTGGTATACTCCATCATTTTGTTGCGGTGAGCAATTACTTCTGTTGCTGATCTTTGGTTATATATTCTTTCTAGATGGCTCTCAAATTTTCATGTACTATTCAACTTAGATTGGCTTGATTTCATAATGGATGTGGTCTTATCATTAAAGAGCATCATCCAAATAAGTAGACTGTGATTAAAAAGGGTCTTAATCAGTGGTGTAACATGGTATAGGGCACCATCGATAACTAAGTTGCCCCAACCAATAGCCTGAGTTACTTTTAAAAATATTTTGATGAATGTTTTCAAAATATTTTCAAAAATTTTGAGAGTTCTTTATTTAAAGTGTATAATTCAGTTTTCCCTAGTTGACAAAAAAACTGTCATTTTTGCTAACGTGTTTGACATGCCCTACACCCTTGGATGGGACCTTCTTGCAGCCCGTTTATAGGAGTCAGTTTTTCCTTAGAGCTAAAGATACCTCCATCTATACCAATGGTCTTAACTTAATTGATAACCTAAATTCTTGCTGAACAATGGCATTCTTGCCAACAGAAAGATAGAATGTAAAGCCTTTTTTACAACCTCTCCCATATTTTTGGTATATATTACAGGTTGTGTGCTCCAAGTTTCTGCATTGAGCACTTAAACAGAAAACTAAACTGCAGCCAAGATAACATTTTTACATATAAAGGTAAAAACAATAGACTTATAATCTGATATGTTGTAAAATAAAAGATACTCGTAGTCTATGTGGGTGGTGTATTAACAATAAAAGTGTTGATATCATGGTCATAACAGCAAAACTTTCACAGCTTATCCTGATTTGTATATAAAAGTTACTGTATATACTTTTTATTTTGTTTTCTACTGTTTATGAAAGTAAAACTACTTCAAGTTCTTGGTATGGTTGAAGTCTCTGCACATCCTTGTCTCTGCGTACAATTGTATCAGGGAGTTTTCTTATTTTTGCTATTGAATCCCTGTCTATTTTCAATTCCTTTGTGCAAACATTAAGCAGCTCATCATAAGTAAGGATCTTTCGATTGAGTTCTACTTCAATAAAATCCGGATCTTTATGATTAGCATTACGAATCTTGATAACAAGTTCACTAATGTCTGTTCCAACAAAAACAGTTGCTACTGGTGTTGTTTTACAGGAATCACATAAATGATACTCCGATGATTTTTCAAGACTTTTTACACTGTTTACATAAGAATTTACTAAAGAACCAAACTGCTCAACATGGGGAACAAATATCTGCTTGATTTCATTTGTGTTTTCATTTGGGTGGCTGGCAGCAACTGCACCAGGTATGACTGGATTTGCAATGTAACCAGGTATGACTGGATTTGCAATGTAACCAGGTACAAAATTCATACCACCATCTCCTTGCAACACTTCTGTTGTTGGTATCGGTCCACTGGCCATGATCTGCCCACTGGCAGCAACAGCATAAGGAATAACAGGGTTAGCTAAATAACCTGGCACCAAAACATGTTTGTCGTTATGGTCTGATCCTGCCTGGTTGTCAGGCTCTCCTTTTAGCGATGTGGGTGTAGCTATGGTATAAGGGAAAACGGGGTTTGTAAGATATCCTGGAACTATATTGACAGAAGGTTCGTTTACACCAACTGAAGATGACTTGGGCTCGCTGGCCTGGTCCTCTCGCTGACAATTATTGTTTTTGCTGTGGAAATCTGTGATTATCTTACGTATCTCTTTGTTTGAAGTCATATCTATAGCTTTCTCGCCTTTAAAATTCTTAGCTGAAGCATCGGCACCATGCTCAAGCAAAAGGCGGACGATACTAGCATGTTCCCTTCGGACAGCAAAATGCAAGGCAGTCCATCCATTCACCCGATTCTGTGAGTTGACAGCTGCGCCATCACGAAGCTGCCTCAATACTTCTTCGTCCCCTCCAACTGAGCATTGCTCTCTTAATGTTTCATTGACATCTATGTCCCCACTCATATTTACATCAATCTTAATCTGGGAAGGATTGTCACGTATCCTCAAACGGTGTTTGCCGTTCACAACTTTTCACTCGCCTCGAATTTGCTGGATAGGCCACTACAAATGTCGTTACCTCGCTTTGTGCGTCAACTATCTGTTGGAAACGAGGTGAAGTGATTATTACACAGTCTGTTAATTGTAGACTGGGGTGGTACTTTGCCCTAGACCAGTTGAACTCAGACCCTCAGCAAGTTTTTATCCTGTTTTAAATTTTAAACATAATTATTTTTGGCTTACACTTTGAGAATTTGAATTCGACTTAGCTTCGTTGTTGGACTGCTTTGATGTTTTCTTTTTCTCTGCAGTAAATGATAATGTGCGTCCCGTTGACCAGTTATTGGTCCGAAAGGGAGTACGAAGATAGGAAATGCTTTATCTAATCATTTAAACATTTATAGCAAAATATTTCACTACTTTCATCACCTCTTCCTCCAATTTCTGAGATCCCAGGCCCAAGGCCAGACTTAATCTTTAGTTCGTGAAGTATGAGGCAGCGTTTGTGGACAAGGGCACTGGCTAATGCTTTATTGCCAAACTGTGTTTTATTTATTTTTTCTCTCTATCTAATTTTGGTTTCATTCATTTGTAAAAAAGTTGATTATTTGCTGTTATGCTAAGATGATTCTAAAACTTTGGAAGACCCTTTCTTTTTATGTCAACATTAAAATAGATAAAACTATGGAAACATTAGCTTTTCTCCCGTCAGATTCTTCTTTAGATGCAGTTTTTGGCCATACCTAGATTATTACAATCTAAAGTTTTTCTTGCCGCCAACCATAGTGGCCTTTTTTAATACAAGCACAATCATAAAATTTTGGCCCCACTTTAAAATACGTTTCGCCGTCCCTGGATCCGACTTCAAGTGCATAAAATCGACCTAACAAATATTAACGTCGTAACCTAAAAATAGCACAACTGTCTTCTGACTCAACCTGGTAAAAGAAAGGCATGCTGCAAACTTTTGTGTAAATCATTTTTTTGGCATTAAATACTTTATTACAGTTTGAAGCTTTCAGCCCCCCCCCCAGAAAGTTATCCCTGGCCTTGGGCGTGTAAATCCGTCGGGTATTATACATTGAACCAATCCCTCTAACATCAAGCCAGCATCATGTTCCTAAATGTTATCATCGCCCTCCTTTTTTCTCTCCTCTCATCCACCATTCCAAAACTTATTTCAAGAAAATTTTCGAAACAAGGAAACACATTCGCTTAACAAAAAAATAATAGGCCTGCCTATTTTATCTTTAAATTAGCCTGGTAAGTATGAGATCCGAACTTCATTTTGTGTAATTTTTTTGCCACAAGCTATGTAAAAGTCGAAACTCAGTGGCCCCTGGAGAAAATCCACGTGTTTTTCTAGCCAGGAACTCAAAATAAATAAAAACCCCTGCCTTAGACCTTTTTTATAGACAGTATTATCGTATTTAAGTCGTACTTAGGATGATACAGCAGGGTGATGCTTGGAGACAGGTGACAGTTTATTGCGCTGAAAATAATGTCATATAGACCCAAACTGAAAACTGTTTGGCTGGGCTGTTTTCCAGTGATGTAGTCGTATAATTTTTACAAAGGGGGCTCTATGACAGTTTTTAAGTTGTTCTTGCCTCGGAATCATTGTAATTTGAACATGACGAGGGTTGATGTTTTTTCCGATCATTGGTTGAGCAGCCAGGTATATCGACTGTTTGAGCGGCAGCTAAAATGAAAATATCAGTAGTATGGGCAGGGGCGGGAGAAAACGTCATTGAAAGTGAGGGGGCAAAATTATTATATTGCTCAGGGGAGTAGTGAAAGCCTTTTTGAGATATGACATTCTGAGATATGACACTCTAAGAATGGCCAGAAAATGCATCTGAAATATTGAAAGCATCGATAAGAAGAGCTTTCTTTTTAATAATAATGAACCATTGACTGGATTTTGAATTGACACGTTTTCTCTCGTGTTAACAAAACAGAGCTACTAATTTTATCAGCTAATGAACAGTGCTACTAAAAATACCATGCAAAACTGTTATTCAGTGGACCTAGAAAGTGTTCAAAGTTTGCAGGGGCTGAGGCACCCCCCCCCCCTGACCACCACTACATCCCTACTATATTCAGAGACACTGACATAAGCCTCTCTTTGCAATTCAAGCAAAAAAGGCTACAAATCTTGTAATGTTGTAAAGTAAACAGAATGAAAGCTTTTTGTCACAGCACACAAATATTACCATACCAAAACTACACTTGAAAACACTGGGCAGAACATCTTAACTATACACCACTGCTCTGATACTGTAATATTACTTCATTTATCGAAATAAAACCTTTTTTCTTGAAGAGAACCTTTAAACTCTAAAGGTCCTCAGGAGTAGCCAACACATCAATTCAACTAACGGCCTCGTTTTGAAAATTTCTCAAAACTTTATTGTTTAATATTTTTAAGCTCAGATTTGTTTTTATCGCCATGATTTAAGGCCGGATACAATTTTTCATATTGTTTTTGCTTGTGTTTTAGAATTTATGGAGAAATGAAGTTTGAAAACTTGTAAGGGATTTGGTCGCAAAAAACGTTCCAGGTGAAATTTTACCCCCTTTCTGCCAATCACGGTCAAATCTCTCATGATGAAAACTTCTAAGAAGACGAAAATTCTTTAGGCCAAAAATTTTGTACAAAAAGATTGGAAGAATTTTTCAAAATGAGGCTGTAAGTTGAATTAGTACGCCACCGATCGTTTTTCTTCAAAGGCACACTTCATGTCCTAAGACCTTTGCTTTACAGGAGGGAACAAGCGGTCCAGGGCCTGTAAAAATGTTCTACTATCTTACTGTTTACAATCTACTGCTTTCAGCTACTTATATGGAATCAATTCCTGTAAGTCAAATACCAGAGAAAATTATTCCTTGATTCATTAACAAATTAATCTTAGCTGAATACAGAACTAAAAGCATGTTAAAAAACTTTCGTCCTACAGAAAAATCAAATGAGGAAAATATGTACCATGGGCACATAAAACATAAATGGCACGTTGCCAAAACAGAAAAGCATAAGTAGCACCGCGAATCACAGAAATAACGTCATTGAAAAAACTGCAAACGATAGTAATAGCCCTTTATGACAGAAGGCAGAAATAGAAATAGCATCAAAACATCGTCACATTCTTTTCTATGAAAAATTTTCTTACATAAAACTTTACCAGTTTAATTTTTTTCAAAATATCTATAGCCCTGATTCACTTCGAAAATATTGGATACCTGTGGCAAAAAACAAGGCTCAAATTTGACACGGCACAAAGCATCAACCTAATAACTGTATAGGAAATAAAAAGAAAAAGAAATAATAAAGAGAAGGGAAATGAACTTGATCGATAAACTCTGACAGTGCAGTGTGCTTGCCTCACAACAAAAAAGCTCAACTTTCGTTCCAACAACCTGATGATTGTAACCCACTTTCTCATTTTCATTAACTACACTTGACAACCAAAAGAAGGAAATGATTTTAGAAGATATCATGAGCTTCTAAAAATTATTGACTTGTAGTTGTAACGTAGCAGAGTGTACATGAGTACCTATAACATAACAAATTAGAGTAGCATGAAAAGGGCAAAAAAATCGTTACACGAAACTTCAACACTCACAGCCATTAGGACTAATCTCAAGAGGTTTAACCCCAAAAGGGTAGGCGTCATGATGAAAGTCGGATCTGGTCTAGGGTGGGGGAGCTGTGATACAGGGGGTTGTCTGGTCATCTAGTTGCAATGTTCTTTTGATTTTTAAAGATCCCCTGACTTGTTAAAATCTCTTTAAAATTTTCAAAGCTTTGTACATAAATACTAAATTGGCTTTAAGACCTTTCAGTAGCTATCATCGAGAGAGAGAGAGCAATGTTTGACAATGGATTGCACCCCCAAATTCCCTTTCTACCGTAAATAAAAAAAGCCATTCCTCAGAAGATTATTCCTAGTTTAATTATGCAACTCATGACTAATTCAATTTAGCTAACAGCACAGTTCAGTGACAGGACTTACAATAGACGACATTAAATTACAAAATACGTATGTCTTTTTACATTTTTTATATACAAATTAAACGTCAAAGATTTAAACTGCGTGTGCTCCCAGGCTTCAGAATAGCCAACGGAAAATTTCCCAGCTACAGATATTGCTGAATCTCAACTTTTAATTTGCTGTAAACCTCGAAAAATGTTCCTCGTAGCATATTTAGCTCTTATAACCACTTTAGGGTAACAAGGGAGCAATCAGTGGGTCGCTCTCAAAAACTCTTTAATGACCAACGAGGGTAAATCCCATTTCATTGAACAAGCTTATCAGTTTACTTAAGTTCAGTTAAGAGACCTGTAGCATAGTGGAAAGATTCTTTGAAACAGCCAGTGGTTAACGTCCCAGAAAGCCTGTGAAAGCTCGAAGGATTTAACCAGGCACTTGCCAGAAAAAACTTTCCAAGTGAATTTTGACGAGTTCTAGAAGGTTATGCCTACAATTAACCTTGCACAACTAACCCCTTTTAAACTTGCTTTGATGCTTCAAATTAAAGAGTTATAAAATTGATTAAATATAATGCACTTTTAAGCAGTCTGTACCTTTAGCAAGATTGCAGAGGTAGTTTTGTGGAGGTAACGCCAGGTAAATTCAGCCCTATATTTACTCGGTGCCAAATTGTAACAAACACGCTTCGTCTAAAAAGAATCAATATTACGCACTGAATGAAGATATCTTTAGCTAAACCACTTTCCATTAATGAATTAAGCAATACACATACTTAGACCTTTAAGAAATAAATTCAATTATGACTTCCCGGAGCCTTCAGGAAATCATAACGATGTGATGAATTGGTACATAGTATTTTGTTCTTCTTCTACCAGGTCATTATTACATATGTCTTTCTTTTTGTTCTTCTGCCACAATCGAACAAGGAACATGAGGCAGGCACCTGCTATCATGGGAACGCCCGACAAGTAAAATAACGCTCTCCCTTCCACACTGTTGCTTTCATTCATCCAACCTACAAAGTGATTTCAATTCAAATTATTCAGATCTTTTAAAACAACCAGGCGTTAAAGGATCTTGCGCAACTGGCATGCTTTGTAGTAGCTGTTTTTTAAGCGAGGAGAAATGGACTGAATTTGTTTTTTCGTGCAAACGATATAAGTCGCAAAGCATGCCGGTTGCACAAAAGCCTTTCAGAATTCTTTGCAATTATTACCACGAAAGTGTCTGCGCAACAGAGCCGTTTTTCTTGTTCGCTGACATCAACATTTTTTTTAAGCACTAGAACAACAACTCCATTAGCGTGCAATGTTTTTCTGTAATTCTAGTTGTTCAAAAGAACAAACAGACCTATTCTATTACCTGATACCATTCATTTATACTTCTACTCGAAGGCGCCACTTTGAAAACTGAAAAAAGCAATTGAAATTCCCCCAACCCATCAAATTTAGTTCCTTGATTTTGAGGAACCTGTGAACAAGAAAATCGGCTCGGCTTCGCAGACCCTGCACGCAGGCTAGCGTTTATCATGCTAAATTAAGACTCGACACGGCAAAATTCGCTTGCGCTGTCTCAAAAAAGGCATCAAAATCAAAGAGGTATCAATTAACCAACAACACCTACTTACCAACCGTTGGTGGGCCTAAAGCGATCGGTGCTGCAATGGAAAAGAGCACGATTCCCCAGCCTTGCGCTAAGTCATCCAAACCAACGATCTGCATTGTCACAATTGAAATTAGACCAATAAACGAACCATCAAGAAAGCCATATAATATTGAGTACAACAATAAATGCCAAAATTTTGTTGCCATTGACGAAAAAAGGGTTATAACTCCACTGAAAAACATGGCAAATTGGTACAAAGGTATTGTAATCTCTGGTCGGAAATTGGAAATTTTCCCAAAGAAGACACGGCCTATCATTGCACTTGCTGCTATGGCTGCGAGAAGAAGGCTGGATGCCTGAGGTTGCGCTCCAAGCTCCACTGCGTATTTGGACTGAAAGCGAAAAGCGATAATTTAGATAGCAAAAGAAATAAGAATACCGTTTTTTACTTATGATTCGTAAGAAAGAACAAACCATCCATGATATAAAAAAGTCAAAAAAGGACAAAGTGAAGAAATGACACCGTCTACCATAACAACCGTGATAGACTTTCACTGCTGTTTAGTCCAAGCGAGCTGCACCTTAACATCCGCTCCCGGTTGAAAGAAACTCAACTTTTTGTCACCAATAATGAAACAACGTCAGAATGAATAAATAAAGAATGTCAAAGCATGCGTATAATTTACACATAGCTGCGGCGACTGTTCCCTATGGACTTAGTTAATCGGAAATAATTTGCGAAAAGAAAACTGCTTGGTCGGTCAGTTTTCCTTCCCTATCATGTGGCAACCTTAGTATAGTATACTTATAGGACCATATGTAAATGTTTTGAGCTATAGGACCATATATAAAAAACGTTGTAAAAAAGTGATATGGAAGTCCGTTTTGAGATATTTTATAGATAGCAACTTATGAGTAATGAATGCAAATATATTTTAGAGAAATTTCTATTTGCATTGGTTCTCGAAAAATACTCATGGCACCCTTTTCCTTTCCATAATGCTTTAAAAAGTCTTAAGTTTGGTAAATCCTCACCCTTTCATTACAATGTCATTAATAAACGGCCAAAACTTTCTTGAAAAAAAATTTATTTTACTATTTACAACACAAATCTTAATGGTTTGTCATTAGCAGCTGTTCATCGTTTTCTGTAATTGTGTTAGAAGATCTTTCCTCCACAGGGTGTTAGAAGATCTCCCCTCCACTGTGTGTTAGAAGTCTTGTTCAGTTTAGATATGTTCAGTAATGAAGCACAAGGGTTGCATCTTACCAAGTGTATCAGCGGAATGTAATACGTGAAATTGCAAATCATCATGATTATCAGCCACGTGACATACGCTTTGTCGCGCAGCAATGTCCATTTAATAGAGTATTTCGAAATTCCTGATTGTTTCGTTGACTCTTTAGAATCCCTTCTATCAAGTAAATAGAACGAAGTCGAACTCAATACAGTTGTTACCATGAAGATTACGCCCCACCAGCGAAAAGTATCTAAGACCCCGTAAGATTCCATAAGGAAATGTAGCAAGGGTGACAGCACAACCTGACCGAGACTGCCAGAAGCCACTACGAATCCGGTGGCAATCGACCGCCATTGGTCGTACCATCTGGCAACGATAACAAGCGATGGAGTATACATCAAACTCGTGCCTAGGCCGAACAAGAAACTGTGCGTTGCGTATAGCGTTTCAAGTGAACCGGCTGTTGATGTCAGTATAAGTCCGGTGCCTCCCAGAATTGATCCAAGCAAACATGTGAACGATACACATGTGACGTCACAGAGCTTGACCGAAAGCATTGAGAAGAAAAACAGCGAAGCTGATGCCAGCGATCCAACCCATGCTGAAAAATAAAAAGAGATTGAGAAGATAATACAAAAAATAACCGTTAACTTATTTCTGGAATAGTAAAGGGGAAGGAGCTTTGCCTGTTTAAAGGATTCTGAGATATCACTATGCTTTCGAGAAATTTTAAATACAATTTAAAATGCCTGAACCAATATTTTTGCTATTTTGCAAGTTTGCCAATGACTTGATAAAATAGATTCATTAGACATGCGCTATTGAACTACTCGATTAAAAGTGAATCGCTCTAGCTAGGAATACAATGCGGCGACAGATATCAGCTATCTACAGACAGAAAAAGAGATATCATGCAATTTTTCTATAGACAAGGAAAGGAATACCTGCCATTACATGGAAATAATAAAGATAAATAAAAGAAGTAATGGCGCATTGATCTATAAGGCGCAGGTAAGAAATATAATTTTAATTGCTACGACATTAATTGAGACCAGGTCTCGACAAAAATGAACCGACTTTCCATATCAGTGCTAGCAATAAGCCTTTTGCGGCGAAATGGGGATAGACTCTCGTGTGTTATGAAGTTTCGGACCAATTGCTTTGATACCCTTCAAGGGTGAGACACCCCCTACGCCAAAGAGCAATGGTGTTGCGTACGGCATTTATCAAAACATTTTTCCTTCTTTCTCTTTCACTTATCTTTGCAGTCATTGCCCTCTCAGAGAAGATATTTTCCCGTGTGGATTTTAGCCAAAGAAGAATGTTGGAAAGTGTCGTTGTTCGGGAAATTTTTTCAAGATATTTCATACTCCAAATTGGAAAAAACTTGATACCAGCCATCTCTTTAATCTGAAAGTTTGAAGGTCAAACAATGTAGTCAAAAATACAGTTGTTTCTGGACAAAACGCCCCACCCCCTCGTACAAGCACCCCCTCGAATAGGCGCTCCTTGAAGAAGCAAAAATTTCAAATAAGTGCCCCTTCGAATAAGCGCCCGTTCGAGTAGGTTCATTGATGAATATGATACGTGGATGGCCGAAGGAGCACAAAAATTAAAGGCGCAAGGGAACTTAAGACCACCTCAGGGACATTTTCCAAACTCCATGAATAAACAAAGCTTCCAGATTCAGATTCAATGCAAAGAATTTAACAAGAAACCAAACCAAATACAAAAGAATACAGAACACGACCGTGTGATTCTTCGTAATAAGAAGTATTCATTCTTCCTCTTTTGTTATTTAAAACGATTTTTCATTCGCGTTTGCATTTAAAGGCAATCTGTCACGACGTTGATTGCTAATAAGAACAAAGGGATTTTTTATTGTTTCCAGTCCCCCTTTAATTTATATCATTGTAAAAATTATGGCGGAGCGCTGGAATCGTGTTTAGGCTATTGTTCCAGCTATTGTTCTTGTTAACCAATCCACAACGAGACAGATTGCCTTTAAATTTAGGGCATGCATATAATTTGAAGCAAGGCAAATTTCACGGGTACCATCTTTTTGGCAACGCCCCTTTATTACAACTTATCACAACAAGGCTGAAATTAGACTGTTGGGCAAAAAGTACATAGGTAAATGACACCCACCTGTTTGACCTTGGCCAGCATTGAAAGTTTTTAAGAGCTGTGGAAACATCGCTCCAAACGAATAATGCATTCCAAAAACCATGAAATGAAGTGTACAACACGCGAAAAAAACGATCCACAACCGGCACTTAGAGGGCTTGCAAGTTGGCTCCAAGTAAACGGTAACCTCTTTCAGGATTGACTTTCCTCCTTCATTTAAATTGGGCTGCCGAATGAATCCCCAAGCATGAGTGGCTTAGCTGCCTTTTTGTCCATTTTCCTCTCGTTTTCGATTTGCAAAGTAAATGCACCAATGAGGTATAGATGGCGCTCCCTAAAACTGATAAAGTGAAAACAATCACAACCACACCTAACAGCCGAGTGGAAATTCAAAAGATACTGGCAGCACTAATATTCACTTTATCTCTACAACAATAAAATAATCCTTCAGGTAGATTTAACATTGGGAATCAAAACTTGTGCAAAACCGTGTTAGCCCTTTAACAATGCCATAGATGCAGAGGCCAGGAAGGCCAAGGGGCTTTGGCCACCTCCTCAGGGGGAAACCTTGGCATGTTTGAAGGTATGGGGACGTGCCATATTTAAGGATACCTTTTTTCTAAAAAAGTGCATTATCGGTATCAGTTATCGGTATCGATTTTTGAAATATGTGCGGAACTATGGGTACCATTTGAAGAAACATGCAGAATTATGGGTACCATTTTGGGAAAATATTGCAAAATTATTAGGAGGGATATTTAGCATTAACAAAATGAATGACCAGTTAGAAATAAAACTATGAAATCTGTGTAATATTGAGATTTTGGAGCAAAGGACATGCAAAATTTGCTTGATGATTTTTATGTGCTTTAAAATTTTTATTTGCTTTGCGGAATTATGGGTGTAGTTTCCATCATGTTTGCGGAATTATGGGTCCAAATTTTTAACCAAAATGGCACGTCCCCGTCAAAAATTAGGCTTAGTTTACCCCCCAAGGCCTCCTCTTTTTCCGATAAATTGTAACCGAGCCCCGCTTGGTCAGAAATAATCAGCATTAAAGCAAATAATCAAGACATAATGACGAAAAAGAGACACATCTGACTCCTACTGTTAAATCATTACAAATCAAGGTAAGACACACCTGAAACCTTACAAAAACATTTCAGACATAAAAGACACGATAAAATGTGTTTCTTGGTAAATTTCAGTTTCCTCTACCATGCTACCCTCCAAATGAAGGCATAAACAAACAAGCACATTTTAACTCAAATGAACTGGTTAAAAACAGCAAAAGCATCAAAGGCTTCATCCCCGGACCTCACGTTTGGCTCTTTACTGTCCCACACCCCCAAAATTCACGAATCGAACGACTTCAGCGTAACGTCTGTAACTTATACCCAATTTTTTACCCCCCCCCCCTTTGAAGTTTCTATCTATGTCCCTTAATTTTGATAACTTTATCAACATGGCATATGGAGGTAGCATTTAAAAATGGATGCCTCTTAGTGCCATTTTCATCAAGACCCTTCCAATAATTGCTGAAAAAATAAACTTTCGGGGTATTATATAGAACTTACGGCAAGAGGAATTAAACTCCAAGGCCTGCTTTACATTAAAGGTCCAGTCTAAGTGGCATCAGGACCAACATTCCAGATAACGAGACTTGTTCAATCTGAAAAAAATTCGCGTTTCTTCCGTTGCAAAATTTTGTGCCAGCAATAAAAACGTAGGAGAAGCGCAAGGAAGCACTGTTTGCATAGAAAAAACAACATACAAGAAACACCGGTGCCAAACCTTTTACCTGCTTTTAAAATCATGGAAACAAAAGGCATTGCAGCTTATACCAGCAACAAAGCGAGGATTTCCATTACGCAAAAGAAGATGTTTGTGCATTACTACTTGGTGTTTGTTGATGTTTGACTGAAAATATTTGCGAGTTCAACCATCAATGCTCGCCTCAAAAAAGGCAGCTTAACAATTTACTCCCCCGTCATAAATTTTACTATAATGTTTACAAATAACCAAGTAACATTGTTCGATGCAACCTTTGCAAAGTTTAGTTCACAGAGACAACGATCAATGTCAAAAGGCAACACATTATGCAGCTTGCGATTTGATTTCATGGCATCTTGGTATATTTGAAACGCATTTTGTACAACACTATCCACAGAGGATTGCAGCACCAAAGATTCAAAAATCCCATTTTACATACATTCAGAAATGGAATTGCACTTTTGACAAAGTAAATTAGAAATGTGACTTGCTGTCTACAAAATACTGGCCTAGTTTGATTTGCAGATTGTGTTTGGAAGCGTTGCTACCAACCGGGAACCATGATATCTGTAGGCCATGATATCTGCAGTCCTAGTAACGTTCATGAAGAGTTACCTGGCGAAAAATGGATTTCATAGAAGCACAGGTTTATTTAACCTTTTTTAAGAGGAGCCAGGCCACACCCTTTGGCAAACCCTATGTTCTATGGTAGAACCCCCCTTGCACAATTCCCTCCACTGCGCAATTTCCTCCGCTGCACAATTTCCTCTGCTGCACAATTTTCTGTTTAGCCCCTTGCCCCTTTATGAGACACTTATAAAACCAACCCTTTTTCTCTTCAAAATGCCCCTGGCATAAAGTACCTTATCCCAAAACAGCAATTATGACGCAAATTCCAATCATGTTTTTTAACAAACAAGAGATAGATATAGCATTCTAAAGTGGATAGCGTGGCATTTTTTTGAAAAATTATTCTGCTGGTATTTTAAGTAACTGAATAGAAAGATACCTGTATGCGATACTTGCAGCGTCAATGGTAGTCTACGACGCAAACAAAATCCACACAAATAACAAAACAGGTCCGAAGACGTCAAAAATGTAAACTGTAGCACAGACGACGCTTGTTTTCTTTATTTCCACTCTGACCGTGGTAGCATTTTTCTTTGGCCACTGAGTCACTTATACCGCCAAAATCAACAATAGAATGGAATCTCAAAATCTATAGCGAAAATGAAATACAAAATTACATGAGGGAAAATCCAGAAAGAATGGCATCGAAATAGTGTTTTCTCTGAGAAGAGAAACATTTTTTCCAACAAGTATCATCATTTGTCAGAAATTGTCAGTTTAAATGATGAATCATTGTAATATATGTAACGATGCAGATGACAATACCAAATGGCTGCCAAATAGTAAAAGAAAAGAACTAAGCAAGTTTTGGAATTTGAAGTTACAGTTCTCATCAAAAGGTTTTGTGACAATTTAATGCTACTGAATGGAGAAAAATGGAACTCATAACCATCCAAGTTAACCGTTCTATATCACAAACAGCTGAAATAAAAATCAGTGAGAGAATTTTTAAAGAAAGTACAAGCGAATTTGGTGTAGCTCTGGATCAGCAAATATAATGTAATCAACAGATAAAGAACTTCTGCAAAGAAGAAGTAAAAATGCAAACACTCGTGCAGGAATGCTTCTTATATGAGTGAATCTAAAATTGTACTAAAAATGAAAACATCTGTCATATCATATTTCAATTATTTATTTGGTCACTTTTTCTAGAAGGAAAAATAACAACAAAATCAACAGGATACGCGTGGAGCCCTTAGAATAGCCTATAATGATTACCAATCAGCATTTGAGCAGCTACTGGCATAAATTAATACAATTACCTCTCTTTACAAATTCTGCTATAACTTCTATAGAAATTTACAAAACATTGAATGGTTTAAACCCACCCTTCATGAAGGAAATACCCTCTCCCACTTACTGTACATATGACATAAAACATGCAAAATTTAAAAACGTTGATCCAAGTTATAAAATATGAATTTGGTGTTGTCTCGTATAGATGTTGAGAAAGTTAGAGCAATATTCCAAAGAGAAAAAAATTCCATCTTTGGCAATATTCAAAAGCAAAATTAAGAAATTACAATGCACATGCGATTTGTGCAGGCAGTAAATTAGAAGCATCGGATTCTCGATTATTTGCAATATTGTATGGTAATCACTTTATCTTGTTGCGTTGTTAGTTAAGATTGTTGGATTGTTCTTTAGAAGCTATTTTGCGCACACCAACTTAAAATGAAGAAATGGAAAAAGCTCTTCCTAATTCCATGCGTGGGGATCACGAGGTGTGGTCACATCTAGAGGAAAGACCAGGACACTGCCCGATTAGTATAGTCTCTCCGTGTCCTAAATACTACTTTAGGAAACTTAGTAGATACAGAAACATGGTTTGTCCTTGCTTAAAAAAGGGTTGCCTTTTCTAGGACTTCAATAAACTATGGCTTCAATAAACAAACAAAACAGTTCCTGTTATCGGAGGGTTAGTCAACTCTGCTTCTTTACGAAGCTGAAGCCACAACGCCCTGTGTCGAACTGTTGACGGAAGACGGAAGGTCATTCTCCAAGAAATTGTGGGCGGTGTGCAAAAAATAATCATTTGTCGAACTTTGCTGTGTAATGCGAATAAACATATGAAAACAATAAAACAATAATTGTAAAGAAATCATATAAAAGGAGCTGAGATGAGCTGCGTGTGGTACTGCAACAGGTCTTTCAAATCTTTAAAAATTTCGAAGAATTTTAACCTAATATAAACAAAGTTGAAAAATATGCGACGTTAAACCTTTACAACACCTGGAATCACATAAGCAATCTAATTGATTGAAATAAAACAAACAATCTTGTACTTTAATTTTATGAAAATTTGATGGGAATTTTTGGGTAAGCTGGAAACATCAAAACTTGTACCTCTACATTTAAACAATATCTCAGCTTTAAATTTGCTCGGGCCTCAGCAAACCTTGAATCTTCTTTTCTCCTTACATTGCTAATTATAACGCAAGCATGCCTCGGTTGACCCATTAGGCCATTCAGAAAATATTGTCAACGAAAAGAGTGTTTCTTAAAAAATGTCGAAAACAACTTGCAAAATCATACCCTTTTGCTGCGTTTATGGAGCAATTGCTTTCAAGGAATCTAGATTGTTTCTACAAACAACACAGCGCTTTCTGTACATAGACAAATTAGGTCAAATATAAATCTTCCAGGTTTGACGACCCCAAAGATGCTTGTTGACTGACCAGTTCAGTGGACGTTCAAAATTGAGATAGCAATCATTTGCTCTCCTAAATTATATCAATAGATTTTCATAATTTATGAATGGCAACTTGCTGTGAAGAACATTGTACAACTGGTGGCCAATTTGACGAAACACCTTTCAAACTTTCCGTGAAACATTGTCTTTGCCTTTGCCAATGATGACTTAGAATACAATCATCCAGCATTCTTCTGTAACTACAAAGCCATTGCGATTACAGTACAAAAATGCAAGCAACATATCAGCTGATGAATACAAATACCATAAACTGCAATTTAATGGCATCCAGCAGATGCATGCACGTTTTCTTAACCATTGTTGACCGCTTCTGCATTCGGGCCTTATCGCAACTGAAAGGACTGGACGGCAACGTTTCGACTCAAGAGTATCTGTCATTAAATCGAGAGTCAAGATAGCTATGTGATCTTTTCATAAAATCTTTTTGTATTCAGCTTTTCGACAAACTTATTCACAATTTCAGAGACATAAGAGCCGCGATGCTGCAGGGTTACGTGCCCCCAACTTTTGGAAAAAATGCCCTTTTCTAAGAAGTAACCATTTTTTAATTTTTCCCTCTTTTTTGTTACATGGTGTTTTCCACATCCCCGGACAATAAAAAACAAATCACCTTACCACAATACACATGACGCCATAGCACACGCACTAGTGGTAGCTTTTAAATTCCATAATAAGGAAAATGTCATAAGACAAAAGAGAAATGGCGATAGCATAGATCCAGGAAGAGAATGAAAGTAATATTGTATGAAAAATATTCATGTGTACGTTTGATTGCTGCAGCTGACATTGTTTACAATAAAGAAAAATCTCTACATTTAAACATGTCCTCTCATACTTTACTTGATTATTAAAAACATGTCGTCGTTACTCGTCTCCCACGGACTGGTCATTTTATACTGTGCAAGATACGTTTCCTTGATTGTACAAAAAAGTGAAAAATTCAGATGCGAAAAATGAGCAGTGCGGTCATGAAATACCTATTAATTATTCTCCTAATTGCTCTTATTTACGAAAAAAATGCAGTTTCAGGCCTGAACAATACAAGAAGAGTCATAATAGTTCAAATTTCGTAAACAGTCAGAAATCCTTAGTATCTTCTTCTAAATGACATCAGTAGCCAGCCAATCAATCGACCACTGGTTTAACACGCTTTCTTTGCAACATTAGGCCTACCTATATCTCCAAAATAGCAATCTACCGGCTCCCTGATTAATTTCCTAGCAAAATTTCTGAGCAACCTTTAAAATTTGATTTAATTTAGAATTGTAATACCTGCTATTGATAAACAAAATAAACGAATACTTGGAGAACAGAACTGAAGATGAAAATAAGTAAAACATGAAGCCTCAATTTCCACTTCTGAACCTAACTCAACCATGGGCGCAGCGGAGGCTAAACTTTCAGGGAGACTTTTATAGATTGCACGGATGGGCCTGCAATTAAATTCGAAATTCGAGAAATTTTGACTGATTGCTGCAGCCACCCAGCCCCTATGTCTCCTACGCCGATCAACTCGATTGTAAACTTTATCTTGAATTGGGTTTTTACAAATTAAACCATTTTCCCTGATATTGAAAGTAACATTCTCTTGATCAGGGGCGGCGCCACGGGGTGGACTGGGGTGGACATGTCCACCCCACTTTTTTTAAGATAGATTTTCTAACATTCAAAAACTAGACTAAAAACATAAGGGGGATGTAAGTTTTCTTCTTTGGGATCGAATCTTCTTTGTCTATTTTGAGGGTCATTTACGATTTTTCTTCAGATCTTAGCTGAAAAAGAGAATGGTCACAGGCGTGTTGGATCATCAGTTCCATAAATAGTGAGAAACTATAACGAGACTGATCTATAAAACACAGCTTTATCGTGCTAAACAGTTGGTTCTTAGAGTGTGGTTATTGCTTTCCTTCTTTGTTAAAGGTTTTTAGCAATAATTAACTTTAAAATCTGTACCCAAACATTTTATAAGCAGGATAAACAAATTGCACCCCTTTATCAGCTCTTCCCCTTCATTGTCAACCCTCATTTTGGGGCTGGCGCCGCCCCTGCTCTTGATGAATAAATCAACATCAACCATGTAGTAAATTATGCATGTTGCTACCTTGGTTGGGCGAACAGCAGCAAATACGTCTTTTTTCTGGTTGCCCATAAGTAATAAATTGCCTGTCTAAACACACCCCCATCCTTTTATTACTTTAAACTTGATACTAATCGCATTGAATTGAATCACAACTGGTGCAAGTACATCAATTCTTGTATGGAAAACCTTCCTGAACATTTCAAGACCGACTCGACCTCACAGCACGTTACAATTCATTCAGAAATGATTGATGTATAAGAAGGCATTGTTTCACTCACGGGCCTTTTCAAGAAAATTTTTCACTCATGTGACACTAAAGCTCTGTGAATATCATTGAAACGTTTTAAAGCTTCTTACCTTTATTAAAACCAAAATAATCTCAGACGACATTCAGAGCGATGGCGGGGGTGTAGTCTTTTTCATAACATCGATAAACACCTTTAAATGGGACTAGAAGAAAAAAATTGATTTATTAAAAAATTAACAAAATAAAAAATATCAACACGACAGGCATGCTATCAAGAATGTTGCAAAAACTATGTTATAAATCATGGATTCGAGCTTCGAGATGAGACGAGAATGCTTTCCGTTTTCATATAATGGTATACATTTCATTTTACAAGAACTAGATAATTTCCGCCGAGAATGGATTTTCTCATTTTTTTTGGATAATTTTCGACTCAGTTGCTTATTTCAACGCTGATTTTTCTAAACCTACATTCTAGCTAATTAAACTTTAACTTAGCTAATTAAACGAAAATTTTCATAAACGCATCTGTGATTTCAAACAATTTTTATCTGAAGATGTGCGAATTCTTTCCTTGTTCTTATTTTCAGTGACAAATCTTGTCTGCGTGCTCTTTTAAAGTGTTTTAATAAAAAATAGTGTATTAAAAATACGTGTTAATTACACCACTTTACCGACTCAATCATTTTAACTCTAATAACTAAAAACATAATTGGTCTGTTACTTTATAAACTTTTTGATATGCTCTGTATGTCTAAAGACTTGCTTAAATTTCTCTAATTTTTATTTTCTAGCCTTGCTTAGCAAGGATGTCCCATCTTGCAATGTGGTAATGCTTTAAAACGAAATGGTAGACGAAAGTTCAGAGGGCGGCAAGCAAAGAAAGGATAGGCGCAAAGGATAGGCGCAAACCAGAATGAAGTACAGGTGCATAAAGTAGGGCTTAAGCGCCCCAGTGATAACAGGTAATGCGTTTTTTCACCTTGACGGGAGCGATTCACATGAGCTTTAGAAGTCCCGCGTTAGCACAGGGTACCTATACCGAAAGCATATCAAACGAGTGAAAGGGCCAGCAAGATGACAAAGTTCAACGTCATTACATCGAATGCAACACCAAAACCTCAGGACTGGCTTGAATAGCAATAAAAGACAGGGACGCCGATAGCTATTGTGCTTGAAGGGGCTGCTCCGGTCCCATTTGCCGACTCCTCGTTTTTACAATGAATTATTTTTCCAAAGGGGTGTCAAACACGTAGCGACGGCCCTGATAAAAGAAGATACCCGCAAACTCCCGCAAACAAATAACTGACGTCCATTTTGAATAGAAACTCCAAATCAGTTAACTTGTAAGCAGGTACAAATATTTTCATTGAAAGGTTTCGTCAAGGCATTTTGTATGAAGGATAAAAGCAAGTACTATTGTGCAACCACCAATTCATCAATGCATCTTTGATATATTATTTGGACAACGAATTAATCCTGTTTTCGAGAAAAATGTGGGCATATCTCCTACCAACAAGCTTCATAAACAAGCCTAATGAAGATTCCTTTACTCAAGCCTCAGCATGCTTATGTTAACGAAAATAATATCATTGTCCTTGTCATCTTACTTTCTTCTGAAATAAGTTCATTGTTTCGGTTACCTTTTGTAAAGATAAACTTCTAATGGTTTTAAAGTAGCTAAAACGAGTTGATAAAATTGCCAAATAAGTGCGGTTTTCATGTGACTTGCAAAATATGAACGGCTACTCAATGCTTGAATTTTTCTCAAGAAATTACCAACCAAAGAAGGGGGGATACTTACAGGACAGAGTAGAATTTGAGGGGGCTACTCAGGACTGGAGTTGTTGGGTTTTGGGGCTTTGTCGTCACAAGCTATTGATAAACGAGGCAAGATACAAGCTATTGATAAACGATCAATGTAAACAGATTCATTTTTTTATGAGAACCAAATGATTTTAAATGACATTTCTCGTCACACGGTTTGTTAACATGTAAGAGAAATTTCATAAACACATTGTTTTTCTTCTAATTCCTTCAACTGGGGCTCCACACGTCCTAACGCTGTTCCATTTTTTGTGCAAAATCGAGCCACGGTGTCAGGTACCCAGGGCCGGCGAAACGTATTTGAAAGTGGAGGGGCCAAAATATCAAAGTCTTGAAAGAGCTTAGGAAAGGCCGCCATCATGGTTGGCGGCAAGAAAAATTTAGAACCATGGTGTCTTAAGGATGGCCAGAAACTGTATCTAAAATGAATTTTGACTGAAGGTGTCGCATAGTCTCGTCTATTGTGATGTTGACTTGAAATAGAAAAGTTTTGCAAAGTTTTAGAATAACCACTATCATATAGCTCGTAATAAAACCTTTTTTAGATTTTAAAAGTACCCGAAATAAGATGGGAGAGAAAAATAAATGAAACATGGTTTAATAAAAACATAAACATTGAAATATCAACAGAAGAACTATCAACTAAAAATAAAAAGTTAACCATTTTTGTACAGTTAGGGTATTATTTTAAAACATCTGATCTTAACTTTTTCGGACTTTAAGCGCTTTTAACAAAAAAGTTTTAATAGAATTCATATTGCGTCTATAATTTCTCTTTCTTAGTTGGAATGGATTATCCAAACGATCAAACTTGATAATACTTTTTAAAAAAAAAACCTGCCCAAACTTTACTTCTCACATCCTCAAAAAAGTTTTTCCAGCTATTTCTTTTCCTTCAACAGCTGATTTCTCTCTTTTTGTAATGTAATAAACCTTGTGTGCCAAGTTTAAGCGATAGAAAAAACGAAACTGCGTTAAGCAAGCCAATGCTTTTTACGACGGTCTCTGTTTCTGAGTCAAGGCGAGTCATGGCAATGCAGCATTTGGAAAAACACAATTGATCATAAACAATATACCCTCAACGGAATAAAAAATATTTGAAATGGTGCCAGGGATAAGAGAAGTAACAATTGGTGTGCACCCTACATCAAGATCTTTGGAAATAACGCATATCTAGACCTTTTAAGGACAAGACGCAATTTTCGAAAGAATATAATTGCAGAATTGTTTAGGGGGAGGGCTAGCACCCCCAAAAATCAAGAAAAATTTTAAAAAATGGGATCCACCCCCTGTGCCCCCAGAATACAAGTGGACTGGCTTATAATGGTTTTGACATTTTATTCTTGGACGGCTGTACAAGAAAAGGCAGGGGGGGAATCATGTGGTTAGGGTGCGAAATCCGTCTGCAGACTATGAAAAACCGTGAAATAGGTATCCAGAAAGAGAATTAGCTTCTGTTTTGGCCTAAAACCCAAGAAATAGAAAAAATTATTAAGGGAAAACTGAAAAGCGGTTTGGGGAAAATTGCGGTTTTTCCCAAAATTCGTAGTGCTTAAAATGTTCTCGAAACACTTTTTTAACATCTTGCAGACTATAAAAACAGTGAAGCAGACCATGTTCTATCGATTAAACGTCAAATGATATTTTATCAATTTTCTATAAAACCGGGTGCCAATCGTCAGAGCGAATCGTCTGAATCGTTAGGCCTATATAAATCAATCGATTCGACAAAACATCAGATATGCACGGCAGATTCGGTACAGGGCCTCTGGATCAGGTCTCAAACGCTTTTCGCCAAAACAAACAAAATCAACTGAAGTAACACGATCTCGATGTAATTCGCACTTTCGTACATTTTGAAAAAAGGGACAACAAATCAATTCAAAACAAATTTCAAGCATAAGGCAATTTGCTCGTTTGCTAGTAATGAAAAACCTGCTTGCAAATTAAATGGCCAACTCACCTACACGTCCTTTATTGTTGCTCATTTTCTGGGTCAAGGAAGAACTCCAGCTAAAACAAGAACGATTAACGAGTTCAGTACAGATTTAAAACCGGCCTGGACTGACATGGCCTACATTTGCCACAGCAGAAATGAAAACAAAGCAATGAGACCGTGCAGACAAAACACATACCGCGGGTTTTGTTTTGTATGCTAAAAGTAAATGCGCTTACATTTCCCCCTTGTCGGGATCACCATTAGTTACCGACATTCACTTCCTTCTCTTTGTGCAACTGTACGCTTTGCAAAAATTTGAACATTTGTTCAGTCTTGGCTCCAAAATTCATTAACCAAGCCAAAACAACTGTTGACCTTTTGTGAACTTCCGATATCTTCATAGGCTATACTTATTTCATGTCTCTGCTAATTTCTAGCCGATTTAGATTATTGGATGAACAATTTTCAAAACCTGTAAACTCTAAAGCTACTTAAAGCCTGGTTTCCATATAGCCGTAAGGCTGCCTGCGACTGGCTGCGACCAGTGGCGAAGCCAAAGGTCCTGCTTGTCCTGCCGGGCAGGACCACAAATTTCCAAAGATGACAATTTTAAAAATATTAAAAATTGATTCACTTTATGAAATCATTGTATGCCTGATAAGGCATTTCTTTTCAAAGGTCTTATTCTACACTTATATTTCGTTGCTGTGCTCTTTTTCAATTTTGGGTGACTGGAATGGAATTTCGAGTATCCCGTTCGTAAATTGATATCGTCAAAAATTTAGCCCTATGTTTGGTCCTGCCCAACAATGGGAAAAGCCTCGTAGCCCTGTTTTTGGTCCTGCCTCACAATAGAAGAAAACGATGGCACTCCTGCCCTTCAGAAATGGCAGGACCTCAGGTCCTGCTCTTTTGGACCCCTATGTTTCGGTATAATTTGTTGATTTTCTTCGCCGTGGTCAAAGGTCATAAAGAATTTTCACTTAGGCCATAGTCAGGCTTAACTATTTTGATATCATGGATAAAACTAACTGTAACGAAGACATCATGAATCTGCTGCTGAAGAGGTTTTTGCTGCTAGAAGCTTCGGCCCTACACTGTCGTCACTTGATTTATACAAGAATCAATCGTTTCAAGACGAGTGGCACTTATGGAAATCAAATTGTTTAGGGTCGTTCTGTTGGTCCTATTTACTGTTAAAGTCAGGAATATCACAGACATCGCGAGAAACCTGACATTCATATAGTTTTCTCTCAGACTGCAGAGCGCAAAGGAAGTCATATTCAAAAACCTATTATAAACAGTAGAAAAA